TCCCCAACTCCTCCATATATTGGCTGTATATGTTCCTCAAGAATGCTAGAGCTTATTACCACTTTGGTAGAGATTTAAACACTGTCTTGTGGCCAAATTCTGGTCTAATACGCTGTTGAGTCTTATGTTTATTGTAGCGTTGTGAAGGAATATCGATGTAATAAATTGAGTGATATTTTGTTTTACTGCACTTTTGAAATATTACAACGGAAGACTATTGACGCAAATGTAATTGCATAGTTAAAATTGGAAAAATTGTCTTATTGCTCATAAGTCATGTATTTAGCATCTCTTGCCAACGCTTATATTAGTGTATGCTAATTTTCCAAAGCAAACTAATGCTTGGAGCTTGGACGTTGTAACTGCTCATCGCCTATGTATTTCACACATTTCTCGTTATTTCTATTTCACGCTCCGGATCCTTCCGACCAGTTTACTGGTTTTTAATTGGTTAATATAGTTACCCATGTGCCTGTTCGGCCTCTTTACGCAGTCAGAAATGTTCGCACGGGCTTGCAGCTCTCCGTTTACAAAGGTAGTTCTTTATTGATACTAACATTTTGCTCAAAGAGTTTTTCTCTTCGACATAAACTGAAGCCGTGCAATAGTATAGTCCCCACGACTGTTGCTCATAAAGGGACTCTACCCCTTTTTAGTAGGTAAGCCCATTCTCCAGCGCATGCTACTTGAACTCAGTGTATTTTTATTTTGGGGCTGATGTCATTAAATAGTTTGTTCTAGATAATTAGAAGGTTAGTGGGCTCATGCCTCAGATGTAGTTGTTTGGACTTAAGTTCGTTACTGATGTATATGCAACGATAACGGAATATTCACTCAAACCACCCATTATTTATGTTAATCAATGTGAATTTTGTTCGGAGCTTATTAAAAACTTCCCTCTATGCAATATCGTGCCTAGGTTTCTCGAAGAAATTTACAGTTTTCTAGGCTAAAGGTGATTTGTAGGATGAATTCCTTTATGATGACTTTTCATTTATGACATTTTTTTGTTAGTATTTGTAAGTATTGCGTCTTATTGTAGGTCAGCAAAAAAAGGGGCTGGTGAGCTTGGGTTATCAGATCCTTTCCATCTACAACAATGTTCAATTTTCCGCACCTTGTTTGGCCTCACTGGTATTGCTAGTGGGGTGGCACTGATTGTTTACCTGAATCCATCTGTTCGTGAATACATCACCGAGGCTGCTCCCCGGTTGAAATATTATATGAGTCGAATGGATGATATCGTTTGCGAATGGAAAAAGAAAGCAAGCACTTTTAAACTACCAGCAATACCACCAAAGAAATTTTTCGGCAGCAGGTACGTGTGTCATTGATTTTTTCTGCCCTTCAACTTCTGCTTCATTAAGTATTCGCTACCAGCACACTTCTAGACCCCAAGATATTTAGCCGAAACCATTTGACAGGCGGTTAGTTATGGCAAAATAACATTTAGGCGTTTTTGTCCATGATTTGGGCTTTCGGTGAAATCAGTTTGGATAGAATAATTACTTCAAGCAGAGCTGATATTATTTCTTAAGTAACATATGTTTGAAAAGCAGTATGCTTGAGGTAATACGAGACAACTCAATCGCAGTAATTTACTAAAATTTTAGTTCGAAATGCGATTTGTCTATGACTGTGGAAATGTATGTTTTTAGAACTGCATATTTCCATTTTACTCTAATCTTGAATGCTTAAATATGACGACAGGATTGGTCAATGCCTTGGCGATTCTCACTTGACCAAACTGTGTAGTTCTGTGACCAACTATTCGCTATTTTCCATTGTGTACTTCCGTGTTTTCAACACTGCTTTGTGCCTCTGTGTACATTGTAATTTACGGCTTGTGTCATGACATCTTGCGACGAGAATCCTGACGCGGTAACTTTTCCATTTTAGACTTGACGTGGTAAGTACATATTTTTGTGGATTTTTTTGTTCTCGAGCTAATCGAAAATCTGCAATATTTTACCAGAAAGGTATGGGATGTTGTCAAATTTGGCGACGACTTTTTTGCTATCTATCTGAATTTCGACTGTCACGACTCACGAGCTGAAGAATCTTCCTTATGCTCAGTTCACCTAATAATCGAATTCTAACATTAACGAAACCTTCCTTAATCTAACCACTGCTGAGTATGCGATATTAAACGGTGAAATGACCATCTTTAGCATCATCTAGTGATCTATTTTTAGCCCTCGAGTGAGGTCGATATTGGTCCCACTTTCCCAGCAGTGTCTGATGTTATTCATCAGGTACCTGAGGTCCCTGAATCGATTCAAGGTTTGTCAACACGATTTTTTTTCATGTTCTTTCACAGTATACCATTATTAATTCACTGGTTAACGTTAGAACGGAGCTTTTTTAGCGTCTCTTTATCTGCATTATTCAGTTCACTTTTTCCATAATTAGTATGAATACAATTTAACCTAATTAAATCCTTAATTTGTCGCAAGGCCTTGCCAGAATGCAAACAGATTTTTCAGTAAGTACTTTTGGTGTACAGACATTTTGAGAATGTGGTGTTTCTCGTCTAAGACTGCAGTATGGTTTTAGGATCTTTTGATTTTATTTCTTAGAAATAAGTTGTGACGCTGTGTAGCAAGCACATTGCGTCATAGGTACAGAATAGTAGCAGTAATTTTTACTAATAAAATAAAAGTAACCGCTGTTTTATATTTATTGGACGTATACTGGCCAGTTCATTCTGGGTACACCAAATAAACGCAAAGTTATGGGCACAAGAGCGGAAAAGTTCGACCTTAGTTGAAGTTTCATGAGAATTTCAACTCACAAGTAGGTTGGGTTTGTTATTTGGGTTTGTAAAATTACCTTAATGAACTTAAAGACCCACAGTCGGTTAAATGTAGGGCCGACTATTTCACTAACGCACTCTGAAGTAAGCAGGTAAGATGCAGCCCCCAGAGCGCTATCGTGATTGCGCTTCATAGGTGGTTCAGAATAGCGCAAGGTTTGAAGCAATTCATACTCACTATTTCTCTGCTTATAGTACTCAAACTTTTGAAATTATCTCAGCCATTTCCCCCAAATTTATCTAGGCATATATCATATATTACAGTGACTATGAGCCTTTTTTACCGGCAAGAGTGAACAAAGTAGCTTTCATATTGGCATATTAGGGTCGTATTGCTGCTGTCCATAAAATAACGGTAAAAGTGTAATATAATCGGTCATTGACTATTCGTTCCAACTTTGGACATGACTGTCAATGCTGATGTACTTTTCAGGTTTCTATAAAAGCGTATATAGGTGAAGCAAATTTTAAGAATTAAAGGGGGTCCTGGTTTTTATAAAGGCCAAAAGATCTGCATTACACTGACGAAAAGTGCTTCACAAGTATCAAATGTGCTACTTTAGTACTGAGTTTAGGGACCTTTGAAGTACTTCAGAAAAAAAAACGTTAAGTACCTTGATATTACTGTGTTTGCGTTAAAAAGAAATGCAATTTTCACATGCTTCAAGTTTATCATCGTGTTTAGATTTGGAAGGGCACGTTCATACTGCTGTAAAGAACACAGAGAAGGCAGTTAATGATGCTCTTGTGGATCTTCGGGCTCTACAAAACGTTACGAAGCGTCAGTTGAATGACTATCAGAATGGACCGGTAGGGCGGGCTGTTCTTCGCTTGGCACAAGCATACTTGCATCCTTGAGTCAGATTTTTTCATCCACTTTGTAGGACAAATTCGATCTCCTAGGGTTTATGGGCAACAAGTTGAGAGTGGCTGAGCGTAAGGCTAAGGAAAGTCACCAAAATGCCCAGTAAGTTGTTATCTCGATATCGTATTAGTCCCACTGTGCAATCTTTCATATCTTTTTGGAGTGATTACTAAAAACTTTTATCGATATCCCATTTCCTGTTTTTTCTTGCATGTTACAAGTCGTATGCCTGACAGTTATAACACTTTCCTCTTATTAAATATCTTTTACTTTCCCAACTCGGTGCCAAGCAATCCTCACATCAGGGCGAAAGCATACGATTTTGATAAGCAACCCACCAAAATTTTAAAATATCAGTTTACTGACGTTAATTGACGTAAACTGACCACTATTCTTTGACCTCATTACTCGAAGTCTGCCAGTATTTATTCTATGCAATTTGATTAAACCTAAGTGCTCTCCCCACGCAATGTAGTGGATTGGGAGTTTAATGTGATTGCTAAGCGACGGCCTCTAATTGGTTTTAGGAAACAACTTGCTCATTTACGAGCACTGCTTGATTCAGCCAAATTGAATGTGTCGGAGCAGGAAAAAGAATTAATGAGGGCAGCCATTGCTCGCTATGGAGATCTTGCGTACGATCTTTCCGGACTAGTGACAGAGGTAAATGCATTTTTTTGTCAGTGTCGCTAGGTTCATGCATTACTTCAATGGAGCGTCCTCTTGTACTTTGTTTCTTATTTTATTAGCTTGGAAAAGGTCCCTTATTTGTTCATTGAATAGTTGGATACAATTATACAGTGTTCCCGTTTGTACTTTGGCTTCACGTTTCGAAGAATGCCGCTTTGTAAAATTAACCCCTGGCTTGGTTATCTGTTGTCATATTTTGGTATTTAAGATTGCGATTTTTGTTAATCTTGAATGCTTTATTCCTTTGGATGGATTGTTCCTTATTTACTTTGTAAAATCTTTTTTTCGTTGAAAAAATTGCTCCAGATTTTTGTATATGGATATTTTTATCTGGTACTTTTATTTTACCAATTCAGGCTCCAGGCTAGTTGGATCTGTCGAACTTGGAAGTTTTCCTCTTTCGTAGAGTTTGCCATTTAGGCATTTTTAGCATCAAATGCTTCAGAACCTCTTCTGTCCGCAAATTAATCCAATGCGCGTGTACCCGATTCACAGCATAAGCTTATACTCCACATCTACTGCTTTTTACGTTATGTGGACCATTTTGGGCACTTATCTGTTTTGTTTTCAGTAAACTTGTATTTATTCGGACGAATCAAGGTGTCACTAAATTCTGCGTGAGAAAATATGCTTTAAAATGTAAAATGTTTAGTGTAATTTTGTGATTGCAGCATCTCCTAGGTCTTCTCGATGAAGATATGCTTTAGCATTTCATTTTCCCGTGGAATTCATAAAGGTATTCCTAACGCTATCTGGTTTGCAATATTAAATAGTTGCGATGTTTAGTTTTTTTGCACCGGAAGTTCATTTCCATCTACCGCAGAGGATTGTTTGTCTCAGCGCACTAATGGCTGAAAATAGTCCCATACTTCGAATGGACGTTTACCTCTTTCAGGCTGTAGTCTGTAAATTCCCTGTATTTTGATACTTCACGGTGCAACAATTGTTACTAAAACTTGATCTTGGTATTTTTGTTTGAAGAATTTACCGTTTCTTATTGTAAACCTGCAAATGTCTTTCTCATGCAGAAGGAGTGGATACAGTTCACAAAAGAAACGCCGTCTACGACCAGGCGCTGAGACTTATCTCTATTTGGAAATAGCTTTTGTTTCATTACCATATCAGGCACCACGTTAGGTTGTACTTTCGTGTTGCAATCAAAAGTCAGACATTTGCATTTTGTATGCTGGGGCGGAGGGAGGGGTGAGTGGTTGCTAGAAGGAGGGGAAGGAAGTTGGTGGTTTTCCCAACCTCTGGCCGATCAAGACGCGGCAAACTACGTGTAGCTTTGTTAAAAAGGTGGAGAAGCATAGGAGTCACGAGAATCCATTAATTCACATCCGTGCATATGTGTGTGATGTGCGTGCGATGATATTTACGAAAAGAAAACAGCCCCGCCAGTGTGTGGAAGACCTTCTTGCTCCGAGACTCGGGACCTGCCCTCCAAATGTCACATCCCACCTCCTGTCTACCCTTCTGTTACAAATTGCATATGGACTTTTTATCTGCTGTAGAATAACTAAAATGTAGGACTCGCTCGCTCCCCCATTCCTACACGAAGTTACCCTTAGTTCATGCTTATGCACACTCCACATTTCTTCAATGTGTAGTGCTTCTGCAACTACAGTATTCAAACATCTTGAGTGAAACCTTACAAAGTGGATGTTTTACTCCGTGGGATATGTTAGTACTACCAACTTGTAGAATGAATGCCGCCCGTGCATTTGATTCTAGAAAAAGTGTTGCATTTTTGCAGCTTCGAAGAATTCGTATCATATTCAATCCCAGTTGTTCATAAGTGGTGTAAATTCGAATCTCTGGTATCTAAAAATAAGTTAAGATATAGTGAGTGGACGAAAAAAAGAGCATCATACCCCTTCGAATTGTTTCACTTGAAACTCATTGTGGCGCATCACGAGTTCAGTTTTTAAGAATTATTTGTATTAATTCCCTTTATATATTCGTCACACACCTCGGTAGTTTTCACTTGACGAATAAGATCGACAACTAACCGCGCTCATATGACCTTTTGACACAAATTGGGGAAGTTGAGACTTTCTCATCTCAGCGTTTCCGTACGTAATCGAGGTCAAAAATACCATTAGTTTAATTACATCACTCGTGAAACTGTATGACAAATCGTAGTGGTCTGACAATCTGACTATGACAGTAACTCCTTAGTTTAATGGATAATCTACCATTGTTTTTTATATGCGTTTTAATACTGTGTTAATAAGATTACTGTAAATGGCGTAATTTGGATCCCAACTGAAACATTTAAGATTCAAAGTTTGATCGCTGTGAAACTGATGGTGTTTACTGAATTTAGTCATGCACACTATGTAAAAGCTAAACAAGTTACTTTTTGGTGTGAAGCCGTTGAAATGAGCGTATAATCCGCACCCTGATACCAAAACTGACTTACATAAACTGCTCTTTCTGGATAATAGTGCCTTTATTTGAAGGAACGCAACAGTGTAGCCGATTGAAAAGTTATCCAGAAGCAAAACTATATTATATTCACATTTCCCAAGTCTTCCGTCTATTTTTCCTATAGCAACATTTTAGTCGAAACAGTCCAATGATAGTACTAACCTACCTCCTACTTGAAGTAAGGCTATTTTACTTATTTCGATTTGTTTTTGTGATTGTGAATATAATTGAATCTTTTAAAATTGTCGTGCAAAGCAGCTTTAGGGGCATTGCTAGAGGATTGAATTGCATGCACAAGGCTAGTCTCTTGAAACTTTGGAATTGCAAGTAAATTTTCTGCATTATCTTATGTGACCAACGCCTCTATCATGCGACCTAACGATTGAAAGCATGGTCTTTCCCCAAACACAGTCACTCGAGCTACAGCTTTGGCATTTGTATTGACGCCGTTAAGCGCCCTTGTGAGTCAAACGCTTTATTTGTGCTTTTATAACACGTTCTAAATTCAAAATGGTCATTCTCTAGTAATACTACCATGGGCCCATTAAATTTCGCTACTTATCGCCTTCGTAGTTTATTATGCCACATATCGTCTGAAGTCAGGCCGTTCGGTATAGCTGGATCCATTTATGGGAATGGACTTGTATTTATTGGATTTCAACCTCTCTAGAGGTCAGTGCTGATTGATTTTTTTCGCATTGTGCTGGCGACAGCCCCCGTGGAAAGTGGTAGTGAGTGTTATTTTCTGTAGATCATGCTTTTATCCTGTACCGAAATCATTCTCATATTATTCCGTCCCACGTAATGCAAATTATATTTTGATATTTTCCTTTTAACTAGCATTCTTTAAGGCACGACTTCTTAATTTGCATATTTATTCCATAATCTTATCAACCAAATGATAATTCAACTCCATAGGAATGTATACCGAGTGCGCCAACGCACTCCAAGCCAATAAAAAAATGCAAGCGTGGCGTTGCCATATAATTCAGCTCGAATAAATCTTTTACATTTACATCGCAGATGAAATACTTCGAGGAAGTTGTTTCTTTTGAATGTTAAATTTATTTGGATAATTTTTTAACAGCAACAAATAGAGCTCTTTCCCAAGCAGTTAAATTCGGCGATTACCGCTACGAATATTTCACGTTGACTGCGTTCTTGTACTCTTGTTGCCACTTTATCTCTTACGGTGCCCAAAATAAGATTTAACGTTGTGTTATGGTCTGATCAGCCGCAAAGTGCTCAGTTGGGCGTTGGGGTTGATTGTTAAACTGATAGTACAGTTACCTCATTTTAGTACTACTGACGTTAATAAATGTTCCAAATCATGTGACAGATTATTTTAATTTCCACAAATCACCTTATGGGGGTCGATGGAAAGGCTCAATAAAGATGCTAATAGAACTCCAAACGTTCAGTAGCCCAGCTACACTTTTTGAAAATCAACTAAGATTAGACATTTTGCATTTGCGAATATCCCAAAATATTCATGTTTGGAAATAGAACTTTTCTTATTCAAAGCTTCATCATGGCCACTAAGCTATTCATAATTTGGCATTTTCTTTGAAATACGCCATGTTCCTTATTATTGTTTAAGTTGGTTCAGCTTTGAAAGTTTGCATTTTTTTGCGAATTTAAAGATCAAAGCTGATATTTGTTGACAAGAAACTACTCTTAGTTATTTGAACAAAAATATCGACGGTAGCACAATGCCAACTGCACACTTTGTTGATAAACACCATGAAGTATAGTACTAGAAATAACCCACTCTCGGTACTCTAAACTTATTTACTGTGAAATACGATTAAAATATCAATCACGTGACCACTCGAAAAATATTTGCAGAGGTTTCAACAAGGTGCTAGGATGATGTTGCAAAACCCATTCTGATGCATTCTCCTGCACTCTCGCAACCATCACTTCTTTCCTCCACAATTTCCTTTCGCTTAATACTTGATACTAACATGTCTTGAGTGTCTTCCTCCTCAAACTTCAGTACTGTTTTGAACCTTGAAAATCCTAGATGACCATCAAATAGTCAAAGCGTTGGAATTCAAACTTCATCAGCTCTTTTTTCTATTACTGAAACTACTTACATGGACTGTGATACAAGTTCACATCTCGTCTTCAGGTCATGGTTTTGATCTGCATGAGGCCACCCTTGCATGGCTTATGCGTGGCTGTCATGATCATCAAGTTCATTGCAAAACTGTTTGCTTCTTCATGTACAGAAAAGTAACGGGCGCGCTGAAACACAGGCCGATCCTTATTGCTAATTAACTAGAGTTCTTAAGTTAGAGGTATCCCAAATTGCTTTTATGATCACTGTTTCCCGTAATCGTAAGTTTTGGTGTAGCATTACAAAGTACGGTTCAATTCGCACTCTTCTTTTCCCTCAACCTCAGTGGAACTGTAGACAATGAACGTTCAAATCTGTCACTGTTTGGAGTCTTTTAATGAGACTGTCGGTGTTATCGATGGGTTTTCCAGCAATTCCAGATCATTGATATGCTTCCAGATCTAAGATCCAGAAAAACATGGCTCAGGCGTGAGAGCTTGAGATGGGTCAGACGTTGTCGGACTATCGATTTCTCATTTCTAAATGTGTTAATGTACTTGTGAATGTTTTTTTTCGGGTTTCGCTCATCGCTCTCTACCAAACTTAGTCCTGTCAAGTGGTTTCATTCTAAATGTCTGCAAAGGTGATTTACTTAAACACATTGCCCAGGTCGTTTATCGTAACCGTATCTTCTAAAACACTGCGCGTATTTGTGTTTTGCTACTCTATTCGTCTATCTCCCAAGTGCATAATGACCCAGGTAATCACTTTGGGCGTTAACATTGTTCTCTTGGGTGTGTTAGCGTGATCCCGTTCATTCTCTACTGTAGAGGCCATCATTTAGTGGTATTTGGGGTATTTATTTGGTGTGCAGAACATTATTTTGAGCATTTTTGAGACCAGTTTGTGCGTCGCTTTCAAAATAAGTAATTAAGTGAGTGCTTGAATAATTTGTACAAGTCCTGAAATAAGGCATTTAAACAAAGCTAACCTTACAGTGAAGGCTACTTTGTTAAAGTAGGTATTTCCTTCATGCTTTTATAAAAATGCGACCCATATTAATTTCGCGATATCTAAGCAAGTTAGTAATTGAAATAAATTATTACTGACTTCATATTCTGAGTTCAGGGGTGTATAAAAAGTATCGAAATATTATTACCGCTCACATTCAGTGTCCGCTTTGAGCTTTTGGAAACCATAGTCAGATCAACCATGAATGTCCGGCCCATTAATTCACTGAAATTCAGTCATCTATAAAAGTTATGGAACGTTTTATTTTTTGATTATCTATTAGATCCGTCGTCTTCAAAATCAAAGCTCTGCCTTCATGAACCTCACGAGAGCTGATAATGAGGATAAGGCAAAGTTACACGATGAAATCAACTCAATTTTGCCGAAGTCGATCTCGCGAAAACCTTTCCTTAAGGGTAAGTACTGAATGTCCGGCGAATGAGATGCATTGAATTTGCGTTGTTGTGTCAAAAATGCTATAGTTTTTCACTTTTTCTAATAAAGTGTCCTCCCTAGGACCGGTGGTATCTAAAGAATTCATTGTGCAATATCTGAATGGTTTATCTGGAAAGCGATACCATAATCAGCTCCTGTGGGTGTTTCTTGGCATCTCATGGCTATTTTGTAATTCAAAGTACTACAATTTATATTTATTTTAAATATTCTCACGAATTCACGGTATTTGCGCCTTCTTCATTCATTTTATAAAAATGAAATAATCCGTCTTCGTTTGTCCATTCATGTTTATATTTTAAGGTGTGAATGAGTAGCATGCTGCGAAATGTGTGATGCGTGTAAATTACTAATTTATTTTCGACAAACGGGGTTTGATACATTATGTAACTTGCTTTCCCTTTTTCTTGGTGTCAGAGTGAAAAGATGAAGCCCTTGATGAGAATTTCATTATAGTGCATAAGGGGTATCAGGTTATTTCTATTCGGAACTTTAATGCTGACTCTGATTATATTTATGCTTTCATTCTCTGTGTTTGGCTCGGACCACATGGAAGCGTGTAAATACACCAAGTAGAGGCTGCATGGTCAGATGGTTGTGACCTGATGTTCTGCGAATATCTGTCAAAGAGCCTTTCATTTTGAAATGCCGTTGCGACTGGTGAAGGCATTTAGTAGCCTGATGACATCAGGTCATGCCTAGATTGAGAAATTGCGTTAGTGATTGAATTCGGCTCTTTTCTGCTTGGGTTTAGTGTTTTGAATCAAATTGAATCAATATTGTTTATTTTCATTCATGAATAATCATTTATTTAGTCGAAATATGGTATTCATATCACCATCTTTTTTTATTCCTAAGTTGTGTGCTTCATTTTCTTACAATTCTTGCTGTGTTGTGTTAAGAGAATGCCGATGCTGTTAGGCTCTCTTAGCTTATCGTCCCCACTAAATTATTTTGCTTTCGGGATTCTGCTGAGGATAGTTCCATCTACCTGAACAAACTTTGGCTAAACTCTCAAGTAGAAAAAAAAAACAGAAAAGCTGACACTTTTCCACTTGGATTTCCTTTTTACGGGGTTCTTCGTGTAATCTTTTTGATGGCTGAACACATCCGCTGCTACATAGTTTAATTATTTGAAAAACGAAGAGCAGAGTAGCGTTTTTTTGTTTATGAAGCGTTAATACAATTATAGTCGACATTTATAATCACAAAGGCTTATTTGTTCCAACCACATCTGCAGGTATGTGCTTTGTCGAATTCCTTCAACACTTTCGCTATGACAAATGCATTCTCAATTTTTTGCTCGTTTTGTTGAAGCACTGGCAGGTGGAAGTTGCTTATCATCAATAAACTGTTATGCTTCAACGCGTCCTCTCGTAAACCCCTCTCCCACTCCTCTTTCTAGACGATGGATCTGAGATGACAATTGAGGAGATGAACTCTTTGCTAGCTATGTCTCTGGAGCGGCTTGATAAGCTACAGGAGAACTTGCAGGCCAGTGGTGCCGCTGCCAAGCGGCACATCGCGATGGCACTTCAGAAGTACAAGAATGAGGCCGATATCATCACCCAAGAAGCTGTGGAGCGGGCTATTTCACACGAACAAATTAAACGCGAACTGGAGCGCTTTGAATGGGTAGGTGGTCTTGCCATAAAATGTTTGGAGCGTTGCTGACGTGCTATTCCATTTAAAAGACCACAAATCTAGTTCACGGCCGGAGAGGGTATGATAAATGTAGTTTTCCTTTATTTTATTATTTTGGTCAAGTCAATTTCAGTTTTTGTTTTGTGAGAGTGTACGCGCCCGCAACTTTTTGCACGTTGTGCATTTAGTGTTCTGAATATGTGCATAGGACTTTCGGATGTAGCTTACATCAACCATAATAATATTCCGCAATGTATTAAGAACTTTAATTGCTTCTCTTTTGGACTTTTGTGGACTCTAAGACCCTGTCCGATTAACGACCCTGATCATCGCTAATGGCATATAGATCACGTGATCCCCCTTTGTGTACATCAGACAACGTCGGGCTTGTACTAAGGGCGATTGATTTTGGCCGGCTCTTGATGTGACTCAGCCCAGATTTTGTGCATTAATTCACATGTTAAAACTCATCTGTTAAACAGAAGGTCCTAAGCCCCCAACACCTTTTCGTTCCACATGCATGGGTAAGCAGGATGAGTGCATTAAGTTTAATTACAAAAGATATACTGCTTAAGAATTTTTCATTGCTCGATAAACATGCGTAAGCAATTGAATTCCCCGTCCAGTTGCACTTTAAATGCTTCAGGTTTTTTAACTGTTTCAGTTTAAAAATGTAGCAATAGTTCATTTAACACATGCCAAAAGGACCAGCTACCTCAGTGTTATTTTTGTTCCTACTATGTTTTTTTCCTTAAGCGTATCGACATTTAGTGCGGTGGGACTGGCGCTCCAAGTGGAATTAGCCATTTTTACTAAAGAGTTTTTATTTATGTAAAATGTAATATTCTTGCCTGTGTTAAAGTTCTTCGTTGTTCATAGGAGAACCAATGTTTTCTTCAAAAAAATGCCTATATAAGGTGAATGCATGATAGGATATCCTTTGGGATAATATTGTTCTGGCTGGATAATCACTTCGTATCCACTAGCAACGAAGTCGTTTTATATTTTCTCTGATAATGTAGTGATAATTCCAATTTCGTTGTACCGAATGAGGGCACAACTAATACTTTCTCCAACGTTTTTACCTTACCCCCTCCCTTTGGAGCAAATGCTTTAGCTTACACGAGTGGGCTTAGTGTTTTGCGACCAAAACTATTCCTTCCTCTAGGTTGATAATGCGCCAAGGCCACTGTCCTAAAGACTTTTTTGCATGAATATCTAATCTTATTCCCTGTCGATGACATACCGTCCAAATTCTTTTGGCACGTACACGGTCGTAAATAAATGGATAAAAAATCAAGCCACTCCCCGACATCCCATGACGGGTTTTTTTCACAGTGCTGGCACAAAAGTTGGTTAATCCGGTCGAAAATGTGTAACTACCTGCACAGGGCATTTTTATGACCGCAAATATCGACCCGTTTTTTACGGCCTACGGCGTGTGATTTTAGTGCTCTTGCAGATACATATGCATAATTGGGTTTTTAAAATCACTTCTCGATTGCTTGCTTCCATTGTTCTTCCACACCAATTTGCAGTCTGAGTTGAATTTTTCTAATCTGCTCTACCCTCTCCGACGTTTATTTCTGGGAATAATGCCCATCGATTTGGTTCGATGGTGAATCATGTGAGGAGCTTTTCGCATTGAATTTGGTCCCGTTTAATATGCCTTAATCTCCTATTCGATCATTTGAAATGACTTAGTCGGTGCGAATTTCTATCTCCTCACCCAGTAATCCTTCATGCTTTGTTGATTGTTGTCCATTGATATGTTGTCAAACTAAAGAAGTGGCCACTATTGTGGTTCTCCAAAGCACTACTCCTTTAAACTACAACGTATGATATCAGCACTATGTAGTTCCCTCAGTATTTCCCAGTCTTCAAGACATCAAAACGGGTTTATTGAACTTTCCTAAGGGATGGAGTTGTCAAAAAATATTCTTCAGCATTTTTCTGACTGTTGTACAGATAAGTACGCCACTATAATAAAATACGCCAATCCTTCATTTATTGGCGCTTGTCATTTTGAAGGACCACTGGGATAATAAACTGGTTCTAATCATGATGAGGATTTTCTAATAAGTATAAGTGAAAGCTGCCCAACAGCTTTACACGTCTGCATTTTAACTGAATGATCCTAATTTTTTTTAGTTTGCAATCGCATGTTCTTCCTTGATGTCGGCAGTGGTTCTTGTCAAGCGCTTTCTCTAGGTCCATTCGCCATCTTCCATTTTCAGAAGCGCTGCTACGTTAAATACATATCGACCGTGGAGATAGGGCACGCGCAGCCTCTTGGTTAGAAGTAGCTGTTCTACATTGCTGGGGACGTCTCGTTCCTTCTCAGTTTCGCTTGATTTCGATGAACACGGCTTTGTTTATAGTGTCTAGGACTTACGCCTAGGAAGTCTCGCTGGCAAATGAAAAAATCGGTGGTTGGTTTTCAACCGTATAGATATTTGTTTTTCGCTTATATTGCATGTATTTCCGTCGGTGGTCAGCTAGCAGTGTTTGAAGTTCCCCCAGAATCTCGCCTTGATCATGTTTAGCATCTTTTTTGGTTGTATAGTTCAATAGAGCAAATAAATATATTGTGAAATAGTTTGAATAATGCACAATTCTTTATCAATAGATTAGGTTGCAATTCGGGTTCATTTTGCGTTGTCTCTAGACCATGATCAGGATTCTTGTTTAGTATCAATTCCCTCTGTGGGAGAATCAATATCCCATTGACACCTTCAGGTTAGCATAAATTATGACTTTAGAAAAACAGATGGCTGGTTGCCTTCCCGTAGGAAAAGTACCTCTTCACTTTACCTGAAAAATATCCAGGACTTGCCATTAAGTTGACTTTTTGCTAGAAGTAAGTCCTATTCTAGGAACACTTCGAATTTGTGCTTAGGCACCTATTAGCCATAAGTGAGTGTGTTTGCATAGAAGAAGATTTAGCTTTGTACAAGAAGATATAGTTCTTGGAATTGTTAATACACTTCACGTCAATTGGTATCAGTTATCATTTTTTTGCCGGGAGATCTGAAGTTCAGAACGTCGGTGATTCGATTCTCATCGTGCCACTGTAGGAGAAACAGGCGCGTGCCAACACAGAACACGAGTTGAACGCGGCTTTGGCTCGCCACGGTCACCACTTGGCTTATATGCTTCGCCTCAAACAGGATGAGATGGAACATCAATTTGACCACCGTCTGCGCGAGGCGCTTGCCGAACAGAAGATGACCATCGAGGGTGAAATCCATCGGTGGACTCGTCGAATGGAGGCCATTGAACATGTGGTCGACGGTCGTGCTAACATTGATCGCATCGCTAAGGAGACGCAAGCGCTCTGGCTGGCTGTAGAGGCTCTCGCTTTCGCTTTGGAAATGCCGTTCTCCAAGATCGGGTCTTCAGGTACTCTAGGATGCCAGACCGGAGAGTTCAAGCCATTCTACATGAGCGAGCCCCTTGGAAGCTATGTAGACGCCGTCAAGGGGACTGCAGGCGTGGGTCATGAGTTCGCCAATGTGATTGTTAAGAGCTTGCCGCGAGAGGCACTCACTGATGGGGTGTGGACGCGACAGGGTCTTCTCCAACGTTTCAATCAAGTCAGTTATTTTTTTCCACTTTGGCATTTTACCTCGTTTATTACCCACAAGGCCAAGAGAGTATTTCAAACCGGGGCTTGTCTTAAAAACTTCAGCAAAGTTATTGCTTTAGCCATTTCGTCTATAGAATTGTTGCCTCTGACTTTCACACAGCAATGAATCCAATAAAAACGCCCATCAGGTCCGCGCTGTGACTTTATCATGCACCCCTTTAGAGTGACATTCATTCTGTGGGGTTACTTTTCAGATATTTGTTTATCTTTGTTTTGGAAATGACAAGTGCAGACCTAGGGCTGGAAATGCACAAATCCCACTTGTGTCTGTGGTGTATTGTTCGTATTCTATAGCACAGAGCCTTAGTACCTTAATTCGGTTCTTTTCTTTTTCTGTGTTTAACAACGCTCTTTTGCCACTCTTTTTCTTTCGTTGTGAAAAAAACATTGCTCATATTAAGGTTGATGCTTTAATTCTTATTGTTTTGCTTTTTACTTTATAACAGCCGTCATGACTTTACCGATTGTTGATTTTTAGTGAACATGCGTTGTTAAAGTAGTTAAAAGATAGACAAATTAAATAACAATCTTTTCTTCTAACCCTACTTCCAAGGTATTGTATCGACATTGATAATGTTAGAATGTTGGAATGCATGAATTTGTTGCCTTATGCAATTGCATTGTGATAATCATCTGGTGCATCTCGTTTCACTGGAGGTCTACAAGACGGCGTGTAACGTGGCACTGGTAGGTGAGACGGGGGGATCACTGTGGAGTTACGCGATGTCGTGGTTGCAGGCGCGCCTGCTCTTTGATGGCCTTGGCCGTCAGCGGGTGCTGGCGCGGCTGCCAGGTGTAGGACCGACCCTCCTTACACCGGAGAGCGAGTGGCCCGCAGAGGCGGAGGGGGACGCGGTTCCAGACGCCTTCTGCCTGCTTGCTAGTGCACGCGCAGCCCTAATGCCCGAGACGGACGCAGCGGTGAACGTTGACCCTACCAACTGCGCCGATATCGAGTTCGCGGTACGTCTTCTCTCCCAGCTCCGAGGTCAGCCCGCAGCTGTCGCCGCCGACTGGATCCACGATGCACGACGCTTTCTCGAGGTGCATCAGGCCATCCAGGCCCTCCTCGCCTACGCCACCGCACAAAACTTCTCCGCTTTTGAGGAGAGGCTTTGAGTACACACCTTTTTCAGCAAGCTCTCATTCACGCACTCATCCACATCAATAGTTTTCTCCCCACCCTACTCTACATTACCCCACTCTACACATAAATACCTCTGCTGTAGAAGAATAAATTACTGGTTTATATGAAATCTTACATGTTTTACACTGGTTCCAATCCAACGGGATGGATTCTTGCTTTAGTAACTTTAGTATCCGTATTTATAATAGTGGTGAGAGCCTAGTGTTTATTTTCCCTCTTCAATGCAAATTTAGTACTGAATGATAACTTGTACAGCAAGCTCTTGCTGAAATAGATTTGCTTATCAAGTAATTTACTTGAACTTGTCCTTTGTTGTTACTGGTTTTAAATCAGGAAGCCATCAACTGAAGTCGGCGAAATAAATACGGAAAGTGGAGAGGCCTCTGCAGGGCCCTATTTGTCTTGGTAGCCCGGCACTGAATTTACCGCTTCTGTGTATTAGGAAGTCTTGCACATGCATCTATCAACACGTTGTACGAGGTGAGCCTTTGGTGTCGTGAGTTTTGGTTGGTAAAACCATAGGATTTTCCCTCGAGCCTTTCAATATTTCGTCTGGGACTTTTCCTGGGTCTGCCTCCTCAGTATTCGTTATCTGGGCCGATTTCATAAGCATTGGATGAGCAAATATTAGCAAATTAATGCATGTTTTAATTAAATATTTAATGGCAAATGATGCACGAATTTCGTCTTCGCCCAGCCGGAGACAATTTGGTGGTAGTCAAACGTAGTGAATGATAGGTAGGAGTGGAGGCTTGTGCGGCATTTTGCCCTTGGTACGATTCTAAAAGTAATCACAATCTTATCGTGCTTAGGAGTTATTTATCCGCCGATTTGAAGTCCAAAATAATTTGGATTCGGTGAGCTCGGGACGGGAACTAATTCTGGCCCCACATAAAGGATTGAGTGGCTTACCGTCTAGTTTCGTGGTTCCAAAAATACATTAATCGATGACTCAGACCGTAAACCCACTATGCATTTCCGTTGTTTGAAAGGGGGAAGAGTGGTTGCACTAGCCATAAGCCTTCTAAAAGGTTATGTCCTCAGTTCAAAAAAGATTCCTTGCGAAATAGCCTGACTGATTAAATTGGGAGACCGCCTCTAGTTCATCAAGCAAAACGCTTATTTGAATGCACTCGGAAATGGGGTTGTTATCTGCAGCGAATTGTTTGCATGATTTGCTGAAAGTGTAAAGGTTATGATGCTGGTAAAAACTTTCCCTTTGGGGAAAAAGATCTAAGGAGCTACCAGATCGATTGAAAAAATAATCAGGACATGGGATTGAACTTTAAACTCGTGCCAAATATGAGTACGCTTGATCCAAACTGTGGCAAGTCACGGTGCGGGTCCGTTAAAACACTCCTATAAGCGATGATAATCCAAATATTTATTAATTGAGCGAATGACTGATATCCACACTGAGTGACATTTTCGAAGGGTACATTAGCGTTTGTTTCAAACTTAAAGTAGTAACTAGGTGTATTATGAAAATTCCCATAATTTGAAACAAGTAGCTAGTCGGCAGGGAAGAAGCTTGGTTTGCTGCAGATGATTTACCATTATTACAATGGTGGAAAGGTTAATGAAGTTCTCCATGGGAAGCTTAATTCTTCGTCATCTCGAAATGGAAAAACCATTGCCATTTTTTAATTGACGGGCTCGTTTGGCGATTAAACGTAAGAGTAAACATTCAGAACGAGGTCAATCAGCTTGAAAGGTAATAGTCAGACCAGTACAGTCCATTTAATTGTGGGAATTACTGGCTTCAAGACATTGGGTAATATGGTTTGTGCCTCAACTGTGGACGGTATTTTCCTTCGAGAAAGTGGCTTTCCTTGATGCTTGGGCAAATCGTTATTTGTGCTTCAGAGATACAAGGGTAGCTTTGCTATCAGCCTTCAAGGTACCAAACTGGCAACTTGGCTTAACAAAGTTAGCATAATTAGAGGAATTTGCAAAATAAAAATTCCTTGTATGCATATTTTAAATTACCCATGAAATCGCATAGTTCTGAAATACGGGGGTTCTATAATTATACCCGATGGAAACACCCCATCAAATGCAAAAAAAAACTTCAAATTTAAGTAATTTAAAGGCGTGTTCTCAATAATCGAAATTCGTGGCTTCGTGGATCGCTACCCGGTAAGAGATTCCAGCTATTGGCCGAATAATGCATTGCACTTCCGCCGGCCCCGCTCACCCCCACCGTACATGAATGATGTCGCTGATTCGGTGCTCCGTAAAATTCAGGCTAGTAATCAGTCGAGACAGCGTGGTGTTGGGAGAACTCAAAGAGACTCAGTCGGCAGTTCGACGTGATTGCGCCCTAGGAATAACGCAGTTTTGGCGCTAAACATCGGCGCAAATTATGCCGCGTGTGATGAGATTTGGCAGTTCCCTGCTTGGTTAATTCACATCGAAGGAATGAGTCGTGCAATTGAACAAATTGTTTCATGACTTAGTAAATCAACATCTTATTATACCGCAGGGTGTATTGTAAGTTTACTGTTTGACATTTCATACGAAATATTGCACTTTATTTAGTATGCATTTGCATTGTTAAAATAACAACTGGCTGCAACTGCTTTCAAACTGGTTAAGTATCTTTCTACGTTCTGTTAAGCGTCTACCACTAAAGTGAACGATATAAGCGCATTGAAGGAGAGCAGAATAAATCAAGTGTTTTTCATTATCTGCACCGAACCACCGTCTAGGCGGCGAATAGAAAGTAAATTACCCAACTTTTGATTGTATATCGCCCCCGTTAAAGGATTTTCCTCAACCCATTTCCGCGGTCCTTTTCTGCCAAGAAGACGGCGCCTTTTGTTCCTGTTTCAAAATCCCAATGCATGAACCGAGTACATGAAGTCCATATGTTCACCGACCTTTCATAAGTTTTGAAGTGGTCTAATCTTTTCCACTAATTGCAGAAAACGCCAACATGCGTTCTGGTCCACCACGTAATTGTTCTGCTACATCCTGGGCTTACGGTCATAATACTACTTAACGGCGTAAACACGGAATCAAGATGGAGTATTTTAAACAGATTGAGTCCCACCTAAGCTATCATGTTTCATTTTTTATTTTGTAAGCTTTGAAACCTTAAAAATTGTACTTATCCAAAGCTTTAAGGTAAAATTCCTATGTTAAAACAAAATTCGAAGTAGAGGAAAGTAAAAGTTGGGGGTAAATGACGATCTTGACCAATCGCAATCGTCAAAATTTTAGCCGGGTAGCATAAAAGCACGCAAGCGCAAAACAGCCGTTTGGACAAGGAAACGCGCAAAGAAATGAACCTAATTCCCGCCTATACCTCCTGCTAAATATCTTCGTATCGCGATGTCTAAGGGCACGCATTTATCCTATTTCAAAGGAATTGTAAGTGAGAGTTAAAGTAAACAAATGAAGTAGTGAATTTTCTATTTCAGTAGATTACATCTAGCAGGTATCTGTGACAAAGCGAGCCTAATTTATCGTTCCAGATTATCTAAAGTGTAAGTGAAGCTGCAAACGAATTAGGCCGCATCAATTAGTAAATCGCTTTTTGTTTATCCAAACTGTTGATACGGAGTGTTTACAGCTATTCAAATAACTTATTCTTTTGCCTTAGTAGTGACAAAACCCTCGAATAGTCCCCCCAACAAGTTCCGGGATCGCAAGGCTGCAATCGTATTTGGGGCTGATCGTTAGGACGAAATAGTGAGTTAGAGACCTTACAAACTAACCGAGCTAGTTTTCGGGGACTATTATTCTAACTGATAATGACACCTTGTACATCATTTCTCCACTATCGGATATAATTCAGCTATGTGAGTCGTGCACCATACAAACACTGGGAAATTTTAATTCACTGCTGAAATCGGTACCAAATATTAAAATCCCCCGGGATTCATAGTCTTCCTGAAATCCAAGCAGTCTCGGACAAAATAAAAGTGGTAATTGCTTTATTCAGGATATTTTTGTATGAGACCACATTTTCAATGCAATTAAGATTTTATGCGTTCATTTGGACCATAAAATACAGTTTTGTTTTCCATAAACCTGGCGTCCAACTATGCAATTGTCCAACCTTTCCCGTGAGAAATGTCATTACTTCAAAAGTGCTTTTGAACAGAAATTATTGAGTGAAATACTACCAAATGTAAATAAGGGAAAAAGGGCAGTCTCGAATTCAATGACAGGAGGTAATTCAGGATGGGACAAAGTGGTTCAGTTCACCGTCTGGTTCATAGTGAGAATGAAAGCAAGATCTTCCAAGCAGTGAACAGGATTGTCTTTGCTTGCGTACGAAATACGTTCTTATGGCATGTGGCAGGTTCCGATATTTTTGGTAATTAATATTTTGATCGTTAAATATCTAGGTGAGGTTCAGGAAGATTTGAATTTTCGTGCACTTAAGGTCACGTTCATGGTCGTTCCAACGGAGGTTTACATTATCTGCATCCTTGTTTATTTTTTGAATCACAGGTCGTGTTTTGAATGCAAAATATTCAGCTGTAGTTACATTGCAAGATTCAAGCCTTGTAATGCTTTTTTAGATTGTCTACTATGATATCCCCGATAGTTTAATTAATCTTACTTTACAACAGTCCATATCATTCGCAAAAAGTTACAGTGCATGAATTACAGCTAAGCAGAACAAAAAATACCTATTTTACGGCTCCTTCTCCTACTCAATGCAAGGCGTGAAAAATACCGCTAAGCGTTCATGGCCTTACGTGTTTGGTGACACAATTGGTCACACCGTTTGGCATTGAATGGCACCTCACACGAACACCTTCACGAAAGTAGTTACTGACGGACGAGGGCTTGAACACCGATACCATCGACAACAAAGCAGTACTTGAGCAAACATACCTGCCATTTCTGAAATCTTTCCTGCATATAGCTCATACTAGCAGAGCATGGAAATGACAGGGTTTTGAATGTCACTATGCGGTGCCTTGATATAATGGATATAATGTAGGTGTTCGCATCCTGCTTCTACTTTACCACCTTTGCTCCATCTCTGGATTTGGAATATAAATAAGAACACATCATAGTGTCTTAAAGGAATTATCAACTAGGATGAAATGTCATAGGTGCTGTTGAAAGGCTAGACCGAATTCTCTCTATCTTTCAATAACGTTACTAGGCTCGTGTTAAACGTGGACGGCGATCCTCAAAACGCATTATTAAACACCAACGTGTATTATTTCTTTTAAGGATTAACTTGGACGTTTTGTCTTGAATAAAGAATGAATTAAACCCATTATACCGAGGTTTTATATAAAAACAAAAATTACATCGGAAACACCGACTGCGTGGAATTTATTTACCTATGCATTTCTAAAACAAAATAATGTCCTTTAGCGGATAAATCAGAGAATAAAAGCTTGTGAACACTGTTTTTACATTGGCCATATCCATAAGAATACAAATCAGTTTCAAATTGCAAATTTTCCATAGCTTATAGTAGACTGACGTATAATTAGCAATTACTAACCAACAGTTTCTCCGATGGGTTCAGGATAGGGAGAACAGATTTGCATTGATCTCTATACAAGAACATATTTGTTTGTTTACCACGGCAAACCATTGTTTATTCTTTAATTCCACAATGTTATACTTCACTTGAAAATGCATTGACGTTTGTCAGTCAATGCAGATTTTGATTGGCCAATGGGCAAATCCCCAACTATGTGCGGCTTCTGATTGGTCGGTCTGGTGGTGATTTTACCAGCTGTCATATCCACGTTACCAGTTCAGAAGTTCACGAAAACACGATGAACGTCGTCATGCAGATGCTGTAATTTGTTGAAAATCAGGCCCGCTCAATGGATTGCGAAACCACTGTTCTTGACAGTGTCGATGCAGTGCGAGCGTACATCGATCAGTGCTTTTCGAATAGCTCTCTTAAGGAGAATTATCGAAAGGTTTTCGAGGAACACATAGAAAAGACTAGTTCAAATTCGGCTTGGCTGAACTCTACCCTCGTTGGATTAACCTTCGTCTACATCCTCATGATGTGTATCGGCTTTACAGGAAATATTCTTGTGATGATTGTTATCATTTGCAACCGCGCGATGCGTGTTAGTCCACGGAATCTATTCATTTTCAATCTGGCAGTTTCAGACCTTATCCTTTGCATCGTTACTCAACCTCTCAACCTCTATCGGATTCTTTCCACTAGACACGGCTGGCAACTCGGTCTTCTGATGTGCAAACTCTCCTCCATGGTCCAGGCAACGAACGTCTACGTTTCCTCAATGAGCATCACTGCTATAGCCTTAGATAGATTTCGGGTAGGTTTGATGAAAATTGTATGTGATGTCATATTTTTCCTCACAGTTACAGTCCTTGAATTTGCTTCACTATTTCTTAGTGCATTAGCATTGGGACGGAAGTGGGTATTGTAAAGACTGAATTACAGTAAGATTTAAGTAACGAACCACTGCTAATACTTGAAATGTTCGATCCTTCTCGTGAAATCGCGGTACGGTAAATGAGACTTTCAGACATCCCTTTGCTCCTGTAGTATTTCATAGATGATAAATTTGAGTAAAATCAAACGTGTTAATCCCAAGTCGAAATTATTTGAGCCTAAAAGCGCTGCTCAGATTTGAAAATTTAATCGCACACTTTTTTCTTTCCGTTTTATGTTCATCACACCGACACATTTAATACCAATGTGGTTAACTTTTATCCGACCTCTTCACATCGTATAAAATCAGAGCGAGCGAAGTTCCCACCTTCATGAAATCGCAGGGTTCCTAGACCCTTTCTCACCGAACTTTGCTTGCATCATTACTGGCCAGGTGTTCTGGAGATAAATCATCACACCCAAGGCATTGAATATAGCTCTTTTTACTGCTGTAAAACAAAACGTTGGGTGGTTTGTTTGGAATTATATCCCCTTCGCTTTCCAATCAAGCAGGTCTGCATTATAAAGCACTTTTATATAGTATTTTAAAGCCCGTTAGCCAAAGAGAGAGCGACTGAACTAGTCCATTCCAATCAGGCAAAGACCTTGCTTTCAAAGAACGGTCGTGCACTTCCTGTATACTGTGCAGCATGGTAAAAGAATAGATTAAATAAAACAATAATAGGAACCTCCGTTTTACTGTATTTGTCATTCAGGTAAACTAAGAATTGAATAAATATGAATGCGACAGGGGGATCGGGGACGATTGGACGCATTTACAAAATTTGAGTTTGCCGAATATGCTCCCGATTTTGCACTCCCCTCATGTAAAAATGTAAATCCCTCGTCAACTGCTAACTCAACCGAAATTATAGCCACTTGAGTCGAGATCCATCTCCCGAAGGTTCGACCAAACAATGCATGCATTTCAACAGCCAGCGGAAATTTGTGCAAAGTATGCAGTGAACCGAGAATTGCGATTAGGAAATCCAGTCGTCCTTTGATATTACGTGTTCAGAAGAGATTAATCTAAAAAGTGCTTTGTTTTAAAATTGAAAAGTGTTGAACCAGACACTAAAGGTGAGAGCCATCAAAAATGTTTGCTTGAATCATTTCCAGCATATGTTGTTTTTGCACACACGGCACCTCGATATTTTCTTATGCATTTCAAATACGCGATTATTTAATGTGTAGATGCTTTTTAAGCTACCTTTCATTAATAATGCTGGGCGAAGACGAAAACTGCAAAAGAACGAAATGGTACGAAAGTAATGGTTGAAACAGGAACAGTATCTTGAACGCCTTACCAAAAACAGCCCGGGTGTTTGTTTTGTTTTATTTGCTTCTTCATAGTATGATTTAGCTAATGAAATCAAACGCCCTTTTAGATGAATATCAACAGAATGTTTCAGAACGGAAATGAAAAAATAAATCAATCATTTTGGTGTTGGATATTAAACCGTAAATTATGCCATTAATAGACTTACTAACTTAGGGCTTCTCACATTTATCAACTGCAAAATGATTTATGGTTTACGTCAAGAGTAGCGTAACGGCTGAAAATATTAGGACTTATTTTTATTACGACCAACCGCACGATGGTAAAAGTCCTACGGCTAGTCAAAAGACTGCAGCAGCAAGCGAAGTAGATGCTGAAGAAGTAACGTAGCATAATAATCTGATGGTCATGAAAATATTTTTATTTTACCTCACACGGAGGAGGACTAATTAGGCCGGAAACGATTGGGCTGATAGAGCACTTTAGCACACTTTAACTGTTTATACTTCGCTCTCTTCTTGCAATACTGTCCTTCTACTAGTTGTCTATCCTGAGTCAGACTGGTCCCTCGAGAGGCAGTTCGATTATTTATTTTCTTTGTTTCCGTAGTTTCTAAAGAAATTTGGGCAAGGTACTAACTACACCTATTTCGTAATTGTTTTAAGACTTTGTTTAGGGAGACTGAGTAAAAGGTAACATCCAGATGATCGGTTACTTCAGTATTTAAAGGTGATGTCAAGTAAACGCGATGAATCAACAGAACAGAAGCGTTGTGCAACAGAGGTCCAACGCCTCCGTCTCTAAGCTTTCAATATTCGATCCGATTTGTTCCAACAAATTGTTAATGAAGTACAGCCTCCAATTGATGGAAAGTTCTTTACAACTACACTGTATGGTTCAAATAAAACCCGGGGCACATCCTACATTTTAATCACTTTTAAAGACACTCGGAGAATATCTCAACTATCCACCTAAATGTTCGTCTTCGTAGGGAAAAGTTTGTTTCTAATAACTCTTCACAAAAAACCCCTTCCTTGGCTTGATCACTGCGGACGCAGTTTTTATTCCACTTCCTCGATCCATGTTCCATTTTAGGTCTGATAACTCCCAATTTCCTAAAGTTTTTTATTCGGAGTGAATTTGAGTTAGGTGTACCCTACACCTAATTTTGTTTCCTAACCACAAAAATTTCACTGTATGTATATATTCTCGCACATAATTATTCAAATAGTGACTGTAAAAGTTAGCTATTTTGCAAGAAAATCTTGAGAAAATTCTGAAAATATATTACGAGTTATCTGTTACTTCGTTTCAAGGACCTACGACCCACCATGAATAACAGACTAACTCGACGGAATGATAGTAGAACAACGGAATAAAAAGCATGGAATAGCCCAGCATCCCGCGCTACTTACATCACGTGCATTCATAACCCTAAAGTATAGCAACAGATTTCTTTCAAACACTCTATTTTGATTTCAGCTAATCATGAACCCTTCTCGACAGGATATTAATGTTAAGACAGTCTACGTGATTATATGTTTCCTTTGGCTACTGGCGTTTACATTGTCAACGCCTATTGGAGTATTTGCGAGAGTCTCCACCGCCAACGGCCGTCCAACGTGCTCTGAAGCAACGCTGGATTACAGCATGCGCATCACAAAACTCGTTTATTCCATCTTAGGCATGATCTTGCTCTACGGCACACCCGTTACTCTCGTCAGCATAGCCTACGCTCAAATTTGCATCCTAGTCCACAAGCGAATCAAGAAAAAACCGCGTCATTCCCAGCCCTACCCATTAGGTAGCAAATCGTTACACGTTCACCGAGAGAACACCGATTTTTCGGGTGTTCAGGAAAGCTCACCCAATCGTACCATGCCCGCAGCACGTGTGTCCGACGTTGGCTCGGTCTGTGTCTACTTCTTGCAAAGGAAGCTCACCGACGATCCCGCAAACGTGGGAGTCTGTGAAAACCGAATGTACACCTCACAGCGCCATCCAAGCAGGCATCGTAGGACCAGTTTCTTGCTAGCTAGTGTCTCAATCTTTTTCGCTATCAGCTGGCTTCCCTTAAATATCGTGAATCTCTTGCTCGATCTACGGGAGCTTAATTTTGAGGTGCTCTCCGTCAACCAGTCTACTGGGTGGGAAGACAGGGCCCCGTCTCTGCCAGTTGCAACGCCTTTTGTTCCCCGAGGCCGCTCCGATGATTATCTGAGTCTCCCTGGGGAAACTGTTTTGATCATTCAGGCGGTTTGTCTTCTCTTCGTTCTTATATCCGCGTGCATAAATCCCATGCTCTATGGATGGCTAAATGAAAACTTTCGGCGCAGATTCAAACAACTGTTGCGATGTCCTCATAAAAGGAGATATTTAGTAGAAAGTGAAAAACAAAAGCACAAAACGTGGCAAGTCAGCAAGAAGCGCAGTCCATATGCTCTTTGGCCCAGTAAGTTCAGTGTTTAATCACTCATCGGCAGCGCAAATTTGACCCATCATTTAGTACTGTATAGGGAGCCGCTTAAAAATTAGGCAAAAAGTACTGTCAACTTTGAAAACTAGGCTTAACCCCACAACGAGAATTGTCCATTTTTTACAGACTACTTAATTTCCTCGATTCTTAGTGTTGGCTAATAAATTTTCATAATTAGATCTTACTGCCATTAATTTGGATGTAGTTAAATTCATGGGGATTTTTTACATAAATGACTATTTAAAAACTCCGCATAAGCAAACTAACGACAATCTTAACGCAATTTTTGTAAATACACAGAAATTTGCTCTTGAATTTAATACCTACGTCGCTTGTTCGCATTTAATGTCACGAATTTTACACTTGCGTCCAGTTCACCTCTAGTTGTTAAGGTTGTCGAGTTGAACTTCATCATTGTAATATGGAAATGACTCGTTGGTGGAATGTTCTCAAGTAAACAAAATGTCGTATTTATTCAGGACTGTACCCTAGTAGATGTCACACTTAGAGGTCATCTGCTGGAGCCGTGACTGCTCATCCAAATATGCCGCAAATTCACTTGGAGCTTACCAACTAAAATAGTGGCTTTACGCGAGCATTAAGATGATGGGATTATCAAGTGGTTACCTAAAATGCCATAGAGAAATTTGCTCCAATTCTGTATGTTGTGAAATTAAGACTTTCTAGACATAGAAGCGTATCTAACAAGCTAGGAGATAGGTTTGTGTGCTCACTGTTCGTAATGAAGCGCAACATGCAACCCATTCCCCTCATCAAGCATACAACTTTCAAAAACTGGTCATTATAAAGGGCAGTGTTTAAGGCGTGTCTGTCTTGTGCACATCGTCGTCACACTGCCGAAATAACTTATAATGATTTCAGTCCAAAAATAGCAAAGATTACGCGGGAAAAACGAACCCAGTTTCACTAGAGGACTCCTTTGCTCTTCCATTTGAAGAGGCCTGCCGTCGTAGGTGTGACCGACGGCAAACATCAGACCAATTATCTGCCTCCACCTATCATCCCACAAGTCAGAAGACTAGTTCTGTTCCAGATGCACCACGTCGAAGTCATTCACTCGACGTTATCGTCTACAAGTCTTCCATGCGTCTCAGCGACGGGGCACTGGCTTTCGCCAAAGAGTCCAACTTACCGCGTGGTGTTCTCCTTGAGACCGACATTGACGCCAAATGACCGCAAAATATTTTTTATTTTATTTGATAATACAATAAAGCTGCTCTTGCTGTAGCTCTTAAAGAACGCGCATAAGACGTTAACATTGTGCATACGATTTTGTACGGAAGTTTACTGTTTTATGCGATAAAGGCTGACTAGTGCCTCTTTGTGACTGCTCTTGTAGGGCAAAGGGTCAATTTTTCAGGCACTTGTTTGAATCACCGCATTCTTATTTATAAAATGTCGTAAGTAAATACTATTTTATTTGGTGACCAGATAACGAAATGACACGAATGCTTGCCCTGGTCACCACATCCTAACTTAATAAAAACATGATGAAAGCGGATAAAGAAACAATGAAGTAGTGATCTACATTAATAAACGTCTCAGTAAAAACACTTAGTTTTAATTTTGTTGAGGCACTTTTAAATCTGCGTGATTTTTCCCCGTTGACTTCTGGAAAAAGGCTTCTCATTTGCGATTTTGTATCAAATTCTTATTACCAGCGTCTGTTGTTCTGCGGCAGGAAGCTTTCAAAGTCTGAAACACTTCAAGCATTTCAGTATCTAGCGAATTATCTAAGCGTGTCAACAAAAAAGAGTTCCGTAAGAGGAATCAAATTGTTTGCTTTTAAACATATTCGGAGGCGAGAATGAAGTGTCACTGCTATTTGGCTAAAGTAAAATTTGGGCATGCTACCCTGTTACGACCACAGGCTTTTATTTCTGGAAAGAAGGTTGCACATCCCACCGAGGCGATCAAACACTTTTCAGCAGCATTGGTAAAAGATTTTTGAGGCTAAAATTCAGGCCTCAACTTCCTGGCTGTGAGGCACCAGCAATGGAATTGTGATGGATCGATTTCTTCTCCATAGAGCATTGAAAGTCACTAAAGTTGGAAGCACCATAGATGGGAAGTTCGCATGTAATTCGTAGGGTTGGGTTTGTTACCACGGCCATATTTAGCTAAACGTTTTAAATATTGAATGCCTGCTTTATGCCTTCAATTGCATTCCAAATTCAATGACCGCGAGTGGGTGTAGTAAACGGTATGTGCAGGCACCAGCTGTACTTGACAGTTGCCTTTGCCTGGGTAAATAGAGTATTCGTTCCAAGGTTCAGCGCGGCTATAACAGGCGATTATGACGCAACAGCAAGCCACATTTCATGACCGTGGTAACAAATATATAACTTTTGCATACGATAAAGGGAAATAAGCGAGCAGCAGAATAGCGTTGTGATGCCTTTACCTAATAGTTTGGGAGTTCAAATAGGCTACAGACTGATCTATTGAACAATCGCTAAATTTAATGGTTGTTTTTTCAAAAGTCCTACCAATTCTCTTCTTAATCCCTGACCCTGAAAAGACTCAGGAGTAGGAAATTATCGTAATTCGTTTGGTTTAGCCGTAAGAAAATGCATTATTCTTGGAAAGTAATCTCATAATTAGGAAAAAGTGAGTCGACTAAAGCAGCTGCAGTATTCAACCAGTTTAGAGGGAGGAAGGTGCATTGCACAAATCGAACATACCACTCACAAAATTTATGAAAAGTAGCCGAGAAACGTTCTTTGCGAAATTTATTTAAGTCGAGGTTTTTAAACAGAGTATGAATAGCAGAGACTGCCTTGGTTTTCTGGATATTTGGAATTTATCTAGCACTATAATGGAAGGTTCATTGACGTTTCTTTTGTATCTAAACAGTGATTGTCAAAAACTACTAGTACTAATTATTCAGTTAATTCCAAAAAAGGTTATTAAGTTAAAGACGTGTTTATTTAGCAATTACCCAGACTCTCATGCCCAACCAAGGTAATAAGCTAAAGTATTTAGCTTAAAAACGTTAAGCTAGGCCAACAATATAAGCAAAACTAAGAGACGATATCTTGAAATGTGGTCTGCTGACATAGCCCTGTAGGACCTTCAAGGATGAAAAGTGGGTGGAGGGCAACTAACCCATACGCTATTGTTTGACCCCAATAGGACCTGGTAGCATAAAAGTTTCTGGGAGCGTATCTTGCCTTGAAGTAAGTACAAAGTGGTGAATTGCTGCTCTTGTTTTTACAGACTTATTAAGCTGTTTAGATGTTAGGTTGGTTTTGAGTCAAAGAAGTTGGTAAGAAGTATATCTTGGTTAAGGTACCCTCGGTTTGGTAAAAGTGGCTGTCAAGTGTGAAACTTAAATGAATGGAAACACTTCTTTCCTAAAATGCATTAAACGACCTCAGGAACAAGGCTTCACTGTTTCAAAATTTTTTGTAGGAAACATTTTCTGCTTTGCGGTTTCGACAATAAGAATTGCACTACTCAGCATCTGAGACTTCCCGCACTTCATGGATCCAAGTGGAAGTAGTTTTACTATCTAAGGTATTCATCCGAAGTAGTGAAGTAGAGAGTCTATAGCGAGTAAAAACTTCTTGTTTGTTTTTCGTTCATGACTTTAGGGGAGATCTTAAATTGCCTTTTATTTCTCGAAAAAGGTGGAAATAATGGAATAATGATCGGCAGCTTGGTCATCTCTTTTAAGGTGGCAGCAATTCAACATTTCGCCGAAAGTAGGTTTAGTAAAGAATGGAGGGAATATCCGAAATGGATGTATTCGGTTGATCTTGGTTACAATTCCCATACAGATTGGCTTTGGGGCCTTGTAACACAAACTTGGTGCACAACTTTAGCCCAATTATTTTGCCTTTTTTTGGTCAAAGGCTGTATGCTTTTATAAGCAAAATGCACCTAAAATACATTTTAATGTAGGTATCTTGGCGAATAATTAACATTACTTGTAATGGGTTTCCGCATTTATTAGAAGATCTGTCCAAGCTAGCTTTTGTGTAAAATCATGGAAGAGTTTTTAAAATTAGTGGGGACACAATTGCTTTTAAGAGAATTGACGGGCTTTTTAGGAAAAAAGTGAACCCAACCTTCAAACCTCCAAAATTGATCACTTGAGCGTATTTGTTGAAACCCCCAAATTTTCAAGTTATTAGAACTGAAAATGTTCGTCTAATCGTGATAATGGGCTGGAGATAAAAATCTGAATTTTGAAAACAGGTCAGAGAAGAAGGTTCTGCTTTGATGCAACTCCACCGTAGGAGCCATAAATACAAATTACGTATGATGCATCAAACGACATCAATGGTTTGCGAGGAATACATTAAACTGATGTACGTTTTCATCTAATCCATTGAATATCATTTATACCTATTGGAGATTTATCTGAACATTTTACGAAGTGGCTAGTAGTTTATTGGTCACTCAGAAGTGGAGCACTTTCAGTGAAAGATAGCACAACTTAGAAGGATGAACCAAGTGGTTACATGCTAGGCAAATTAAAAGTGTTTCAAGGATCCATACCATTTGATATGATAATTTTCTAACTATTGACCGCCGAAAAGTCTCATTTCCATCCCTGACCTTTAAAGTAGTTGTGGTTATTTCAGATGTAGGCATTAGGGCAATTTGTCGAGAGTGGATTGCACACCTAATCTGCTTGAATACCCGAGTGCGCCAGTTGCCTTGTCACACCACCTGAACGGACTCATCCTCAAAATCATTCAACGACGCATGAAAATTTTTGCGTTAAAGTGAAACATTGATTTGAAAACATTATTAATTGCTAAATTTGGCCCACATGTGTTCTCATAATGGAATCAGCGTTTCAGACATGCTGTATGTGTATAAGGGTTTGCGCAGTTAAGTGAGATACGCTGCAAAATCGGGTTTAAAATATTCAACACTAGTGTATAAGTAAATATAGATTTGATTTTAGACGGCCCAGTCAACTAGGGAAGTAGGATAAAGCAAAACGGGATTACTTAGAAGTCGGTGCACGATGACAGTTAAATAAGTTGTGACTTTCTACAAAAACCCCAAAACTCATATGGACTGTGAAGCTAAAATCGGAAGTAAATTTTTAATTGGCATTCACAAAAAACCGATGGCACAAGAAAATTTATCGAGGCATGATAAAAGTCGTAGTAAAGCGGTAAATTCCCCAAGTCATATATATTTTGGACGTATTGAATGCATAGAGTAAAACAGGGGGCATAATGCTACACAATTTTATACTTTGAACAGTGAGAATAAAAAAGAGGGTAGAAATATGTCTTCTATTTTATAAATTATCGGATTTCTAAATGATCAGAGGATTTTTAATTCAAAGGACCTTTGTATTCTTTTACGAGTTAATTAAAATGGGATTGTCGCCACCAAAATTGCTGCTGCTCCCCACACAATCGCTTCTTAGTTCTGGAAAGGTTCCGAATACCTATTCGAAAATCACCTTCGAAGGGTTTCCATTGTGACGGGAAGTCTTCCTCAGATGGGTGTAGAAAAATACTAATGTTGATTGCATTTTCCATCTTGGAAGACAGGCCTTTCTGATTATTGCAAAGGCCGCTTCCTTAATCACTATGTGGTTAAGTAGACGGAGTCAATGCATGATAATTAGGTAAACAATAAACGAGAGCAGACTGGAGAACAGCTTCGCATTAATGTTTACGGTGATTTTTCACTTCCTTGTCCAAAATGCATAAGTTTATTTATGACTCACAAGGCCAAAACTAGAGGATTCTAATCGTTTCCTCATGCAAATTAAATGGCAATCACACTTCTAAAGATTTGCAGTTCGTCTGAATTGTGTCTAGTTCTGCCAAAAAAGGCACCATTGAAGGGTTATTCAAAGAACTAAATTCGACCAAAGAACTTCAAACCACTGCCAAAAACCATAAAATCAATTAAGCAGCATTATTAAAAACGCTTAGTAAAGCCACAAACCTGCCAATGGAAAAATGCTAACTAAACAAGAGACTAGGTGTGATCTGCGAAACATTGTTAATTAGGTTACTTTTCAATGGTAATAACCGATCACGCTCAAAGATCAGACCTCCCAAAGATTTTCGAATTTGAAGGCTCATGTCTAGCCTTTGCATTTGTTTTACCGGCCTGATGAGCTGAAAATCACTGCATACCAAAAGTGCTTAAACATAACAGTTTTGATTTAACACATTGAGGTTTTATGGAAAGGGATAGTAGAAGTCGCAACGTTCCAGACCATTCCCTTCATTAAAATGCCACTAAAAGGTTCGTTATTGCAATGACCTTTACCGTGCTCTTCCACTGAGGTCGCATGGCGAATTCCTCAGTTTAAGGGTTTCATTGTGTGCAGTTGGGAAGATGACACTTTTTGCCCCTTATACAACATCCCCAGACATTGGAGACGCAGTTTTGTTTGGGAAGGCATTTTTACTGTTAGTTGCAGCGTTCGCAGCCCCGGTGCACCCGGCATGACTCACCCCCACCGCCGTGGCCTCCACCGCCTCCCCTAGCACAGCGACGATTGGTTAGGCAGGGAGGTTGTGTGTGGAGGCGCATTCGCCTTCCAGCTTGTCGCATCCAAATAATGTTGCTGCGATTTTACAGCAGGGGCTTTCTGGCCTGCAACCAATTATTTTCAGTGTGCCAGTTACTAAATCAACTAAAAATAATGCCAAGTGCCTAGCCTATTGCGGTACCCTCACTGGGGTCCAAACTTCTGGCCATAGGACCTGGTGCATTTCTATAGAAAACGTCAATCATTTAAATTTTTATTTTAGGCATATCATAGAGAAATTTCCTATCAATCATGTACTGATGCTCATTTGTAGGAACACAGACGCTATAGATATGCCAATCGGAGTCATTGGGAAATAAGACCTTAGAAAAACGAGGTCTTTATACCGACCACGTATGTACAACCAGAGCAAGACAGCGTCCAGGTTCCCTGGCCTGAGTACTGGGTCATGGGTCGGTAGCGTTCTTAAGTACATATGGCGGTTTGATTAGCTACAGCCTTATTGTGGATATAGGGACATTTGAAGAGCAACCACATAATTATTGCCCCATGGAGGAGGATCCAGTAAGAGAGACAACAGTAGAACATTCCAGAACGTTTGAGTAAGGAAACTTGCTGGCAAATCTAGAACTCGAGAAAAGAAATACAATTTCTGGAGTCGTAGGCATATGCAGCACAGCCCCCTACATTATGTTAAATTAAACGCCGTAATCATAACCTGAAGAATATTAAGGACAGCGAATTAGTCACTGGTAGTCTGATTTTTTAATGTCTACCTCTAGCTAAGCCACCGAAGTGGTAACCTGTGGATGCGCGTTGTTGATCAAGTGTTACATAATCGGAGTAAACGTGCATTCTGGTAAAATAAGAATGAAAAAAATAGTTGTTTTCAAGAATTCGAGATGCGTGTGAGCAAATTCGTGGACAGTATCATCGGCAACTCTGATACAGTTTTGTGAATCAAGATTTGCCATCTGTTTGGACTGACGACTCCCCGTTTGACCTAAGTATGACCCGCAAGAATAGGTAAATTTTGCACAAGTTGTACTTTTCGAAAATAAGTAGTTTAAGTTGAGTTCCCAGTGTAGCCGAACGGGGGACTCGCGCCGACGCAAACTCCAGCCAAACTGATGCTGAAGCGTGAACCACAAATGCTGACATGTAAAAATTTTAGGCCAAACGAATTGTCAACAAGGAAATGTGCGAAAATTTTGGCTTTACACCACTTTGCCTGCACACCTAGAAATATTCACAGTTTCATGCATTCGCTTAAGTGTAAACTTCGACTGGAAGTATATTGTATCATCGCTTTTCCGTTATTTTTACGACACCATCACGTGAATGCTGCTTTTAAACCTGCTCGCAGGAAGAAGAGAGATTAAAGACATTAGAAGTATATGTAGAAAACTCCGTGTTGAATGTTGCATAGGATTTTGCTTTACAGTCAGTAAAGGCAACTGTTTTATCCTTGCAGGAAGGATAAGAAACATGTTCTTGATGAGAATGCTCAACTGGTGAAACTGCATTTCATTTGCCAAATTATAAGCCCTGCGATCAATTTTAGTCTCCCATTAATGCTTAACTCAAGAATTTGCGATGCTTTTGCAAAGAGGAGTTGATAAAACAATCGGTTATATATTTATTGTTCAATGTAAATATATTTGCAATACCTACTATTCAACTCCCCTCATATTTCACACCACTGCTGTGAGAGGACCATGAGTAGATCAAGCGTAAATTAGTTCATTCATTAGCATTCTTTGAAAATGATTTCTTCATCGAATGGATTGTCGGTTGGTGTGATTTGCACTTTGTTCCACTTCACCGATAGCAAATGCTCTTTACATAGAAGTGATGCATTTTGATACATTCAAAGTAGGTAAATTTCTTCCTCTCAGACCACCGAGCAACTACGGTTTGCTAAGGAAATATTTTGCTTGGCTATGCAGACTCAGCAAGCCTACTGCACACACCACCTGCTGATCGATGTTGGGGCGTGACGATGTTTCTTGATTCCCTCAAATTTTTCACCTTGCATTCCCTGTAGTCCTCAATGAATCGGTCAGTGTGAGAATGGATGAATAATTTAGATTCCTCTTGGCACCTAGAGGCGCTTTGCGCAGTGAGCTGTCGAGCCCGCGCGGCCGATGGTGAGGACCATCGAGCAGAGGAGATGCGTCGACCGCGCATGCTCCTCTGAACCTTCCTCGACTTTAGTGCCTCGCACTTGGGGAGAGACATATCACTTGACATGATCTTCTTTTCCACCTTTGACCAACCACAAAAGCCTGGATTTTCAATATTTGTGCGACTGTCCACTTTTGGATGTGCTTCCGAAATTATCTGTGATGCCAAAAAATTATTTTGGTTTTCAATTTCGGGAATGCTAAAAATGTAATCCTCATCTGAAACAGCGGTCTTCTTTAGGGCATCACAAGAGGAGGCAGTTGGAGGTCTTGAGGGTTCAGTGTAGTTCTTGTGCTTACATTGGTAACTGCTTCCTTGTTTAGGTCTCTTAAATGTCATGCCGCAGTATCGATCATGAATTTAAATTTAGGCTTTCAAACAAAATGATAGCATTTTCAAACATCTTCCCAACTGTCGCACGCACGATGGTAAGTTGTGAACATGCGTTTTGAAACGAATGCTATTCGAATCAGCAAAAATTTAATGAAACATTTATATTATTGAGTTTTGCAGCTGTACTGAAATCCCTTTCCTAGCAGCAAGTCCGAAGACGTTAGTGATGGCAGATAATTGCGGATTATTTTTTTAGTTATGTGAATGAACGTGTAACTGCTACGTTATAATTCGAACTAAATAAAGGCCTTTGTAACTCCTCAAAGGTAACAACAAATTTATTTAGTGACTGCAGATCTGAAATTCTTGAGGACAAATTTGCTACCATCTGTTTGATTCATCTGTTTCCATATAGTGTAGAAAAGTTGAGAGTACGTGCGCCCAGTCATTCGACCACATCAGAAAGGAACTTTAAGAGCGCCTGCAATTGCACCAAAACTTGCTCTATTGGAAGATAATTTCAGCCCCCAACTTGCACTTACGAGCTCAGTAGACATCTTCAAAACATTATGAGGAAATGGTAGCTCTTATTTAAGCCCAGTACCCTTTCATAACATTAGCGGAATACTTAAAAACGTTGCGACCTCGTGGGTGTACCAGGCAAGAGTAACAAACAAGTATACCACGACTGCCTGGATAAATAACGATGGGTAAGTTATAAACAAATGTCACAAAAGAGTCGCACTTTCTGGTTAAAATGGGATTGTTTCGTGAAATGCAATGCCTTTTTAACATGACATTCCGATTGCTGTGTGAAGTCAGTGCCAAATAATATTGATACTCAAATATGAACCACTCTTAAATAGGCAAACGGCACAATTATCAAGATAATATAAAGTCTGACGTATTTCCGATATGCCTCGTTCGATCAAACAACTAAGGCCGGAAATTCAAGCAAATAGCTTGGGAACGCTTGATCGAAGCAAGGGAAAATGAGCATGACAGCACTGTTGTTTATTACATCGGCGAAGACTCGGAACACTATCGTAATGTAATACGATGCTGGTTTATCCCCTGGTATTGGTGGGGCGCCACTTTTGTACTTTGAATTAGCCCCCTTGTACCTCGCTGGGTGGGTTGTCCTTTTGGGCCATGCCAATAGCCCAGATACCTTCTCCGTGCTAAATATATATATTCTGCACGAGTATTGTGTCTTCTTTAATCTTCAGGGAAGTCTCAGGACGCTACAGTAACACCTAGGTTGTTCTAATGTTCCTTTCAGAGAGGAGGCGGGCATACAAGTAGAACCTCGTGACGGAGGCGTCAACGTCGAGTAGCCCGGAGAGGGCTTCTACCTTCACACCCCCTTAACTTGTACTTTACAACCCTATCTACTTATCCGAATAAACACGTCGAAGTCGAATCAACCCGGCTATTCTAGGAGTACGAGAGTCGGGGAAGAGGAGGTATACGGGTCTCACCCTACACTATGGGTATGGTCATATTACTTGCATGGAATAGTTATTGGTACGAAATGTTAGAGTATGTAGTCAAAGGAGCCCTATCTTTACTGTCTTAGAGAGAATACGGGCCCAGAACTGTTAAAAGCAGGAAAAGTTTGCTTAAATGGGAAAGTATTGCACAAAGCCCTGTTAACCTTCTTATATATGAGGCATTTTAAGACATAAAGGCGTTATGAGCTTTAAAAACCGATAAATACGGCCGCATATTAAAAAGCACTAAATACAAACGAATTTTCGCAATTAGAATGGCATAATTATGGGGAAGATCCAAATCTACTGCAAATAGCAAGATGACCCAAATCTCAACTTTTAACCGTGCAATAAAAATTCTTAGCATGTAATACAGTGGCAAGCAGTACTTTATTTTGTTTTGGAGATAAGTTACAGATAAGTTCAAAACGACTTACCTTTCGGCAATTATTAGAGGAATAAACAGCCAATCAAATTTGTCGAGAATTACAGTTACGTGTGCATGGATTTTACATATTAAACGTTGGATATGGAGGGTTTGTTTTCAGCGTCGAAAAAAGCAAAGGATCAAGGAGTCTATAGAACTGTGATTGACGGCTTACATAGCTTATATTTTAAATACCTACTTCCTCTTGAAACGACCTATAGGTTCCACGAATTTCATTCGCCACCTTTGGAACATGCGGATTTTGATTCGACACCCATCGTTTTACTTGTCGGACAATATTCGACTGGAAAAACCACATTTATTCGCTATTTAATTGGTGAAGATTTCCCAGGGATGCGTATTGGACCCGAACCGACGACGGATAAGTTTATTGCTATTATGCATGGAGAACAATCGTCAATAATTCCGGGAAATGCTCTGGTGGTCGACCCAAAAAAGCAGTTTCGCCCATTGTCGGCCTTTGGAAACAATTTTTTGAATCGTTTTCAATGCTCTTTACTAAACAATAAGGTTCTTGAAGGCATATCTCTGGTGGACACGCCTGGGATACTCAGTGGTGAGAAGCAAAGACTTGGACGTGGCTACGATCTTACTGGAGTGATTGAATGGTTCTCACACCATGTTGATAGAATAATTTTGCTATTCGATGCACATAAACTAGATATATCAGATGAATTTAAATCCGTCATTGAAGCGGTCAAGGTGAGCCGTTTTGTGGATTTTCTGATTTTTTTATCATTTCCAAAAACCGAATGCTGCACTTGCCTTTGACTAAGACACTTTCAGTTTAGCATATCCTCCTTTTTTCAGTCAAGTAACCCACTTGTAAGTTTTGTCAGGGATAATAATTATTATTCCAGCTTCTCGGAGAGGCCTTGCATGATTTCTCATAAAGTGTTGACTTTCGGGTAACTGGTTGTCTTCCCATTAGGGCAATGAAGACAAAGTTCGCATTGTACTGAACAAAGCCGATATGGTTGACTTCCAGCAGCTCATGCGGGTATACGGTGCTCTGATGTGGAATCTGGGCAAGATCTTGGGTACCCCTGAAGTGGCGCGTGTATACATAGGCAGCTTCTGGGATCACCAACTCCACTTTGACACAAATCGTCGCCTCTTTGAGCTTGAGCAGGCTGATCTCTTCCAAGACCTTCAAAGTCTTCCGGCCTATTCTACCATTCGCAAACTTAACGATCTTATTCGACGTGCTCGTCTCGCCAAGGTACGCGGATGGACAGTGTTTTCTTTTTATTTGTAACCTCTGGTCTAGAATGCTATGCGTCTAACTACATCTTGGTCCTTTAACAGGTACCATTACGCTGCTAATTGGTACCATATTTTCCTAAAATTCAATAGGTCCATGCGTATATAGTTTCTGAACTTCGACGTCAAATGCCAGCTCTTATTGGCAAAGAAACTAAAAAGAAGGAGCTGATAGCCAATCTCCCCGCAATTTATGAAAATCTTTCTCGGACGCATCACATTTCCATAGGAGATTTCCCACCGATCGACAGGATGCGCGAAATCCTTGCCGCACAAGACTTCAAGTCTTTCAGCAATCTCCAACCCAAACTTATCGCTGGTGTAGAAAAAATGCTATCGGTCGACATTGCAAAGTTAATGCAAATGATTCCTCAAGTAGGTTTTGTTTGTGCACATTTTTGGCACTTTTATTCGTCCTATTTCTGCAAGTACAGCATGATAAAGTCACAATTGGCTGGTAGCCATTTTTTGCAAATCATAAAATCGCCTTAGTTTGATACGGGAAACTCGAGTTTCAAAGTAGTTTAAATCTGTAAAATTCAAAAACTTGCCGATTGTGTGGGTTGAACATCATTTTATTCATCTTATTTCTGTTGGTAATCGTGTTTATTCCCAAAATTCTTCCTTTATAGTCATTTCTTATTGCTTTTTTTAAGTGAAGCCTTGGACATCTTTAACTTAAACGTCGCAATTTTAGGCTAGTTTAGTTTGTAGTAGGGAATTAGAAAACTTTCCTCTTCCGGTAAAAAAATGAATAAATAGGCTTGATGATTTTGACAGTTTCGGTTTTATTGCGGGATGTTCAAAATTCCTGAAGTCGGTTTTTTCCCTTTGTTTGGCTTAAGTACTCTGTTCTAACTTTTTAAAGTGCAGGTTACTGCCCATGGTGCTGATTTATTCCCAAAATGCTTCTGTAGAACTGCGAGATGGGGTACACTCCCACGTTTGCGCTGTGATTGGTGCGAATTCAGTTGGAAAACCTCTGTAGCGAGACAGTTTTACTGCGGATTCCCCGCTATTTTCTCCGCAAAACTTATCGACTCCTGTATGATTGCCTACGTCGAACTCTTTGTTTTCTACCTTGGTGCTTAACGTGTTGGTCTTTCAGTGAAAAGTCCAATACTAGTTATTCACACTCTCCCTGGAGTTGGCTTAAAATCCTTGTTTTTTATCATTCAACACGAAATATCTCGGTGCAATTTTTTGCGTTTTTTGTACTGTAGGTGTTAAGAGGTCACTTGCATGGCGTCCTATTTCTATTCTGCCTTTGTGCAGGTCATCTGTAGTGTTGTTATCACTGTTTGCATTGTATCATCTGTAGTGTTGTTATCACTGTATGCATTGTAAATTCCAGGATTTGGGTTTGTAAAATTTGTGTCACCTTCAGGCCATGCCGAACCTGATCCCTAAGGCCATCGCTTCATCATTACCTGCTAAGTATTTTGCAACCGTGATCCGGTGACTCTCGTTCCGATGCCACTATTATTACCACCGATAACGACATTTTTCTGCCTGTGAAGTAAATTATCAGGTGATTCTGACTTTTCCAACTGGCCAGTAATATAAAACACCGAAAATGTAACACGTGTTTTCTTGTGGTCTATGAAGTTATTGCCTTTTGCAGACACCTTGCCTGACATCTTTTATCCAGTCGAGGCGTCCACGATACATAGCCGGGGGGTATTAATACTAGCATTGAGCACTACATTTGGGCAACAGGAGGATGGTAGCTTTTGTTTCCATATTTTGCTATACTTTAAAAGTCCGGAAAATGATAGACACGTGTTTTCAACCGCGTGGTCATCATCCACGTCTTTTGGGATTGCCTAGTCGTTATATTATGATACTTAATTAGTACATTGCTTTTAATTAAACTTTTTTTCTTAGTAATTGAGCTAGATTTTTGAGAAATACCATTGTGCCAAACGGAAATCCGATGCGGCTACTTATTTTAAAATGCATTTATTAAACATGATTGATTCAGGTGAGGATGATATCAGTCAATGAGTTAACCACAAAAGGTAATATCATGGAGCGATTACAACTAAAAATGTCAAGGGAGAAGAAAGGTCAGGTAAGGTCCATTCCTGAAGTGTCGGTTGTGTGCCTGCTAAAAACGCTAAAAACCGATTTACTCTCAGATCTCATCGCAAGAAGCCTTTGATCTCACAAAGGGGTCATTCCTTTTTCAATAATCTTGTCAGAATGGCCGTTGATTGTCTAAAAGGTGCCTATTTTATCGATTCGTAAATCATGCCCGCTTAGCGCACGTGAATCACACACCGCACGGCTTCTCGTTGCACTTCCATTATATTCAGGTACTCGGCTCGATGTGCGTGGCCACCTGGGGGACTTTCAAAGCTTCCGCTTCTAAAGCCCCGCCAACTTTTTGTTCCTTGAGTGAATTCTTGTGTGCACCGTTTCATTTCGTCACATCAAAGTGCAATGTAAACTTTAAGCTTTTACAGTCCGTTTTTTGGTGCCTTAAGTTTCTCAATCTTACGTTCCTCTCGTTGTACATCTGAAGATATTCGCATTTATCAAATCGATTCCCCTAATGTATGTAATCTTATGTATATCTTTCCGATAACTAGCAAATGCAAAAGCGGTTCCATTGGTTTCTGGCGGCCCCTATCGGCGGAGGAATTTGTTCATTATTACGCCTTAAACTTCTCTCTTGCCGTTGTCACTTATCTCTAAAATCAGTAATTTTAATGGATTTACACCAACTATTTACTGGTCTCTCTAATTTGTCAGCCATTTGGTAAGAATTCGTCTAAAGCTAGATGGTATTCCCATTGAAATTTACATCAGCACCTCCGTAGCACTTATTTATTTCTTTAACGCCTTAGCATCAAAAACAAAAGATTTGGGTCATATCGTTTCCTTCCCATCTAGTCTTGGTATACAGCTGAATCATACCGTTTTTAATACCTCTTATTAAAATTCCGACATTTCCTCCCTACTCGCTTTGGTAGTCGCCCAAGTGAAATGACTTCGGAGTATGGGTAGAGACCGTGCCCTTTTTTCAAAGCTAATGTACCGATCCTGCTCTACCAACGCTTTAGTTTCATCTCATTTTCACTTCGCCTGTCTATCTCACAGGAGCAAAAGGTGGGCTCAGAGGCCTTCCGTCCGCAGGTGGAGGGTGGCGCTTTCGACAACTTTGAGACGCCTTTCGGCTTTGGTGCCTCGGAGGGTATCAACCGTGGCAAGTTTGAAAGCACTTGGGTCGTCGAGCTCGAGGTTCCCGAGGCCTTCGAGGTAAGCCCCCACTGTCTCCTTTGCTCGTCCTCTGCCCCCTCTCCATCTGCATTTACATTCCCCAGGCATTACTCACGCATTTTCTAGTACTCTACACCACTGGGGTTATTACCAGGTGGTCCGAAATGAGCCAAAAGTTCTCCACTGTTTTCATATGCAAGGTTGATCTTATGCTACCACGGCAGCGATTCAGTTGTATTTTAATAGAGTTTATAGTGAATTTCGCTTTAGGGCTATCTGCAGAAGTTCATTTTTGTCTTTTCTGGTCATTCATTCTTGTTTGAGTAGTTTTTGCTCCATTAAATTAATATCATTAGTTTATAGTCGCTGACCTTTTGATCTTAGCCTCTTTTTTCTTAGCCCATGATTCACTTCGCTTCCGTCCCCTCTTGCTAACTTGTCCGATTTATGTCAGCCTCGAAAAGGGGCGAATGAGTCTGCAGTCAATTTAGTAACGCTAAGTAAGGTGAACGTATATTTTTTTCCACTACATCCCTAGTGCTAGTCGATTTAGTTAAATAAACGCATTTAAATTTTATTAATACTTGCTTCTGCTTTTCCATATGTGTTCTATTTGATTGAACCTTACCTTGATTTACTTAGCAAATATTGACTTCACCTCGGACAAGTGATTGTATCCACTATACCGTGAAATTTCTATTTTACAAAAGTTGCATTTGTTTGAATCGGCAATCCCTTGACTGCCTACACTACGTGTGATTGCTTCAAGCACTCAATTAGGCGTTATAATCAGAGTGGGTTTAAGCACCATTGACCTATCACTATCTTATTCATGACAATCGGTAATTTTAAAATTTGGTGGTTGATCGACTTGCTTTAATTGTGGCTAAGCGGACTTCATTGAGGAAAGGAACTAGAAATTTCGTGACCAGAGCGGATAACTCTTGAGTTTTTTCTTTTATGTTAACAGATATTCCGTACATTGGACACCGCAGATGGTAAGATAAGCGGGGAGACGGCTCGTGTGGAGATGCTCAAGTCGCAGTTGCCGGCAGCCACGCTGCGTCGCATTTGGACCCTCTGCGACATTGACAAAGACGGGTGCCTCACGATGGATGAGTTCGCATTGGCGAAGTACTTGATCAAGCTGAAGTTAAACGGGCACGAATTGCCCTCTACTCTCCCTGATCACCTCTATCCGCCCTCTATGCAGTCTTACCGGCTGACGCACGACGGGACCAGTGGCGTGAATGCGGAGTCCTCCTCGATCCACAGCATTCCACTCTCCTCCAAAAATGGCGACATCTAATCGCTTCCCATGCTTTTTACTCCCCCCAGGATATCCAAAACCTCCCTTGCAACTTTTTTCTTGCTTTGAACTTATTTCTGTTGCCTAGTTAAAATTTATTCTAGCGTTCCTTCTTTTCTATGTGCCTTCACCTACAATTTCGTCACGATGGAAAAGTGCTGGTCAAACATAGATATGTATTTATGTCTCGCGTCCATTTGGTCCGTATTTGTTCTTTGGATTTAGACAAATTTTCAGGAAGTAGCTGATCATTTCTGGATGCAAAGACGCTCTCCTTGGCAGGCTCTTGGTTGACATATTCCGACTAGATTTTAGCAACAGCAGCGTCGCATTTGTGAGTGAAATATCCATTTCAGTGGGCCAGAACTAATCCGCATCTATCCAATAAGGGGTACAAGGAGATTACATATAACGTCCTTACTTTGCATGAATGTTTTGGACGGGTTATCAAATTGCGTGGAATGCAAGTACAGAATATAGCCTAGCACTGCTCATCAGGGGGATTCTCGGCTTGTCTTCTTGTGTTGGGGATATCTATAATCTTGGCTTTACTACAAAATTGTCAGGGCACGAAGTTCCGCATTAATTTCGGTTAGCTTAATCATGAATACTCTTAAAAGATCCGGGAGAAACACTGTTGCTGAGTTTCAGAATAATTTCATTGTCCTTAGCCACACTTACAATCACGGTGTACTGCCACAGAACTGGTCCCACTATCAAGATCGTGAGATTCAATTCAGTGGGTGCAAACTCCTGGTCAGTTTGTTACAGGGTAAGTTTAACGAAACGTAATTTATGCTGCTACCAAAAGGTTCCTAATCGTACCATTGCGTAAAATAACCAACCACCGTTGGAACTAACGTGTCCCACACCAAGCCAGTGTCATGCTTAGTGAGATGTAAGCATTGCTCAGGCGACCTAAACGCAACTTGCCGATACCAGCAACCCATGATGAAGAGACCATGTAGATCCCCGTGCAGCAGTATAACTAAACTGTGTAAATTATAAAAAGGGTATCGAGTTATAATTTCCTGTTAAATATTTGAAAAACCCAAGGCAATCTTTGTCGACAAGTGATACATTTAACATGGCTTTAGAAATGCTAACTAAATGGAAAGACGTAGATACAATAAGATTTGAACTGACGCTCAGAATAATTTAAATGCAGTGGCGCGATATTGGATTCGGTTGTGCAGGCTCTTCAGCCACTGTTGCTCATGGTTTTACCTTGGTAGCATGGTCGAGTCTTGCCTCCGTCACTTCCTCTGCATGCTAATAATAAGCATTCCTTCTAATGTGGTATGCCTCCCGAAATGAGCTGGGGCGCTGCGTACAAGCACTATCAGTCAAATTACCGCCACCTTTCGTGCCACAAAGGATGTTTTAAAATAACGAGGATTCGGAGAACTACGAAATGCAAGGTTTCCGGATCTAGAATTCTTGATAAATTGTATGAAAGCCACTCGCTTTATTTTTTGAGCTCATGTTGAGCCCCGAGGTGTATTGGAATATCGGTGCCGGAATCTGAGACGAAAAACAGGTGATTACGTAGACCAGTTTCAGTGGAACCAAATTCGCCAAGGTCACCCCGTGCTGGATGCAGCTTAATGCGGACTGATACATTTAAATATCGGTCCTAATTTTTTAAACTACGCGGCTATCCGAATTCTCAAGGTTCGACATGATCTAAAAACCGAATAATTTGTCGAAATATCATTTTAAGGTTGCTTTTAAACTCTGAATATGTGCCTTGATTGTTGATTTAAATACATCTTTCGGAATCAAGCTGATACCTTTGCGAATACAATAGTCCGGAAAGGGGATCATTTTTAAATAAGTTATGTAGATGCTCCTCTGTGTGTGAAGAGTGCAATTTGTAGAATTTTACACCACATAAGAAAAATAATATCGCATGTAGCCAGCACCATTAATTGTACTCGTCTAACTTTAGTAACATTTACCATGCCCCAATTATTAGATCACGGGCCGCCCCAATCCTGCCGTAAGTTCAGTCAGGCAAAAAGCAGATAAATGCGATTATCATTCATTGGAATGGCAACAAGTCGCATGCTGTTTTTCAAGTGTGACGTAACAAATCGTGGGAATAAAAAAACATTCGCTATTTGAAGTGTATTCCGCAACAGAAAATATACCATCACATTATTTATGCGAAGCGTACATTTGAAATACTAAGGTGTCATACGAGCAGAAGCAATGAAGAACCTCGGAAAAAAGCTTCCAGCAGCCATAAAGCTTCAAGTAACAGCTTCAGATCTAGGTGAATAAGTCCGACTTCCACAGGCATGCTTCACTTCGAGCATTGTGTGGATCCTTGCGGGAAAGGTATTTTCCAATATTGATGAGTAAAACACAATCCTGGTGCAAATACTTATCTAAACATAGTCTTGAGGAACTTGGCTCTGCATTAGTACAGACAAGAGAATCTAAGAATTGGACGAAGGTGGCTTTAGAGGGCATGAGTTCGCAACACTGCCTTTGCGCCTTCCCAGATCTGTGGTTCAAAAGAGCCCAATATGATAATGAAATACATCTACTAGGTCAAAGAAAAGCTTGACCGCGGGTGATCCGATGGCGTAGCATACCATGCTCTCTGTGCCGAAAGTGCACTAACAGCAATTGCCCGAACCGACGAAGGTCACTTAATGTTAAAAACTGCCAGTTTATCCTGCGGCATTTATCGCAATGTGGATCTAGGCGACATGTCCAATGCCCAGTTCAAAAGTGTCAGCCCTCATAATCTAGATGCACACATGAGTGGTGGGTTGGCACAGCAGTTACTGAGTCAATATAGTTTAAACAACTTAGGAAATAAAATGCGTATAAAATAACATTATAACAATTTGCAGTAGTCTCAAGTTTTGTGGACAATGAAAGTAGCCTAGAAGTTCTCCCTTAAAATTATTTTAGGGAAGTCGATCGGGTGAAATTTTTATATAGAACTTTCAGTACACATTGGTAGCGGTTCAGGTTGTCAAACTAAACCTACTCACGCAGATAAAAAACCATTTATCGCATTAGTGAAAATGCATATGACAAGGGAACACCAAATCCCTAGTTGTCAAGATGTACTCTTGCAAAACTTCATAGTGGAGACTAATGTTGCCTTGAGCAAAAGATGCCTGGGCGAAGTTCACACCCATAAACGCACCCTCACAGTCTCAAAGCAAGCACTGCACATCTCTTGATTCCCAAAATTTATACATTAGGGTGAGGAGATCAGAAAAGGGTAAGTGTAATACGCAGGAAGGAGCTAAAAACACATTTCACTCCTTCTACACCTTATTCAAAACAGTAACATCTTAGTGTGAATGAGGGAAGATAGAAATTCGATATGGCAATTAGAAGCGAGCTCTTGGATATGGAATTGACATTTTTAAGGCTACTTTCTACTATTGCAACGGCGAAGCACTAAAGGTTCATCTGCTTGAACACAATCTTTGGTATCCAGTGGTTTGACCTCAGTCCAACTGTTGTCTTCACTGTCTTCCAAAACACTGTCCTGTTCCATGTCCTGCAAGAGGAAGAAGTGGTTGAGGTAACGCATCAACCGAGTTCAAACTCTACCCTGTCGATTGGACGCTTGGAAGTGGCAAAAAGGAAATTCAAATTTAGAATAGCAGATAATGTAAGCAATTTCAAAGTGGCAAATAAAGCCACGAATGGAAATTTTACTTCTCTAACATGCAACATTAAAAATGGACAACCAATGCCAATGACCCCAAAGGGGTTAAAAGCGGCATGATGCCTCGTTTCGACAGCATTACTGACATTCGAGCAAGGAAAAAATATTCACTACTTTTGTTGAAAAAGATGATTACTCTTCTAAACCAATCATTCGAATATGATGGTAGAAGTCATTTAAACGTAATTGAAATGTTCGTCCCCTATATGCTCCATCACAATTGATATGACACAAGAGACAAGTGGAACAAGTGAAACTCGACATTTTTGTCACCATCATAACCAAAATTAAGGCCAAAATGACCCGATGAACGACTAGAAACAAAGGAGGATTGTTAATTTCGGAAAATAACTAGCCATCACTGTCACACTGATACAACAAAATACTGGGTGAAACAATTTGATGGTTCCAGAAGCACGGATTCTCTAGAAACTCACAAACAAGGGGCGCATTTGTAAGCACCATGCCTGATGAGATATGCGAATTAAAGAGAAGTACCACAAAGTTCGCGATTTGTCAGCCGAAATGATGTAGCGATCTACAATTCGCTATTGATGACAACACAAACGACACCTGTACGGTATTTAACAAAGAGCTTTGAGTTCCAACATCTTAATAATCAGACTCCATTACAATGGTTTGGTGGCTTTGAGAAAACATCAGAGATCCAGCACGAATTAGCATGTTACCATGTATCAAATATGTCTGTTTCATCGAAAAGACAAACCAAAGATGTGGAGATAGGGTACCAAAATTCTAAGTCAACAAAAACAAAATTGTTCTTCATAAATTTAATCCTTATGGACCACTACTTGTCTCAACTGGAAAAGCAAAAGGATTTATTTAGTAATTATTTACCATTTTTAATAGTTGATATCAAGTGAGAAAATATGGACATATTTGCACATTTTAGAAAGACCAAAAGATACTCATCTCGATGGTGAATGAAACAGTGAGACACTGTGGAGAGAAGTAGTAGAACCTGGTATTTGAAAAAACGAAAATGAACGGGGGAAGCAGACAAATACTCACATTCTCCTTCGTCACGATGGGCTTTGGTGGCTCTCCTTCCATGCCCACGATATTGAGTATTTGGGGACGCGGTGGACAGAAATACTCGCAGACACAGAGGATAAGCTTAGTAAAAGATTAAAAGAACCCGGAAAAAACACTTATGTTTCAAAAATACCCTTCCTGTCGTATTTCAAGCAAATTTGTTTGACGGTAAAGCGAACAAAATTCCCTTGAATGTATGCCATTCATGCGCAATCAAGTTCGGCGCCAAGCGCTCAAGTACGGATAAGGAGAAGCCAGTTCATGTGTGCCAGCATAGTCTAACACTACGCGATATGCATATACCTACCTGACCCAAATTTATGACAAAAGAATAAAAGAACAAACGTCAGCGTACCATGCCCATAGCTGCTCCAGAGGCAAGAACGCCAGTGCCGACTAAGATAATCGACAAGGAAGCCGGCACGCCATAATCCGTCATCGCTCTGTGAGCTTTCTAAGCGAAGAAAGCAAGAAAAACAGGCATTATCCCGAGTGAACGTCAACTGACCATATTTTTGAATTAAAAGCTATTTCCACTTTAGCTATTCCCATAAAAGCATACCTATCCCCGTGAAGGTTACGAAAGGGCAAAACCATTTAAATTTCCACTGCTTAGTAGTATACACAGCCACTTTCGTCCTTATTACTACCATCAAACAATACGTTAAGAATACTGCGTAAGCTTATAACAAAACTAAGTCAATGTCACAATTAAGGAAGGAGCGCATTAATCTTAGAAACACATAAAGTGGCTTCGCACGTTAAACATTAATGTCGAACCCCAAGGAGGCGCATAAAGCAAGCAGCAAAGCATCTACATTGTATTAAGTAGTCATTCAAGACAAAAACACATGAAGCATGATCCGATGTAGAAAACCGAAAGAAGTTTACGAGTTTATTGATAAAGTGGGGCATCGGTGAGGTTCGCAAAAAAATGAAGCAGCGAAGACGCTTACAGTGATTGAAAGACAGAGATCGAGGAATCGAACGACAGCAGACATACTAGAATTGCACAAAAAATGCATTTTTCAGTCGGTGACAAAGAAAGACATTCAGCGTAAAGAGAAACTCACTAGAAAGCATTTGGCGAAAGCGACCAGGTGGTCGGCTCGATGAGCTCGAACTCACGATTCTCTATAAAGTGAAGTAACTGATCCGTCTTCCGCTTTCCCTTAACATTTCGAAACACACCATCTTTGACACTATAACATATTAAAAGTAAAGAAAGTTTGCTACTTTATGGGAACAGAAAAAATTTAAAACAACCACTAGCAGCATGAAAAGCAGTAGAATATGATTTCGAATCACATGCTAAGTGAAAGAAATATAAAAGAATAAGAGAAGTCTCGTAAAAGTAGCAAATCAACAAAGTTTACTGAAAGATAGTGGGAAGAGAGGTGATTGTAAAAATCATAGCCACAGCTGACTCAGCAGAGCAGTCAAGCTGGGCCACTTTGATGTCGTGATGTGGAGCTAGCTCTGCAAAGCGCTTCCATTCCACTGCTACCAGGTTGCAAGCGGGACACCAGGGCGCGTAACTACAAAGAAAACGTGGAAGTGCTGTGGTTTTCTAGGAAACACAAGTAAGATCCAGGTGAATAACCCTAGTCATAGGAAGATGGAAAAAACTTCACGCTAATACACTCTACATAGAAGACATAGCATAAACCAAGCAAAATGGTAATTTTTAAGTGATTTACATTGCAATACCAAACTGCACTAGAAGGGTAAAAGACGCGGAGTAGAACCCAGTCTAATAAACCAAACAAAACCGTCTTACATTAAAATGTAACTTCAAATTTCACGAAAGTCAGTGAAGATTTGTTAAAAATAGGAATACCACGACACATTTACTACGCAGGAAATGAGGTAGTGTCAAACAATACGATCAATATTAAATTCCAGCAAGAAACTCACAATTCGACCATCCATTCACCAGACAAGATTGTTGTCCAATTGCTAACATTAATGGGGAGTGATTCCTGAGCATCAGTACAGAAGGGTAGGAAGAAGACACACAGACACAATGGGCACAGCATGTCAAGTTAGAACAACTAAATTAGCTCATTATAACGACTAATCCTGCGCCTTTCACTTAAGGAGAGGATAAGAATAGGTTAAAAAGGGCGTTTGCCTTATTAAAAAATGTTGGTTTCAATAGCGAAACATAATACAGACTGATCAGAAGTAAAACACCGACTTTTGCAAAATTATTATGGAAAACTTTGGCAAATTTGCCGGAATATTCAAAAATAGGAAAATATGTCATATTGATACAATGCATTTTATAAAATAAAGCAAACACCTAAACTACCGGGTTCTCGTCCATTGGGTGACAAATTGGTTTGTTTTCTCATAATGGAATGGATAAGTAACCTATAAAACACCGTTAGTCAGCCGTTTGAGACGAATTAGGAATATCCACATTTTTTCATGCATATTGCAGATGCCCAAAGCCCTGCCATATTTCTGCCTGCTAACTAACACTACTTATATTAACTTGCCAGTTGTTTCGCTGCATATTTAATCGCGTAGCAATTTAGTTTATTTAGCTTTTGCTGCCGCCTAGGCTTAAGGTTGGATACTCGTGGCTCCAGATTCCCAGTTCCTCTATATTCGGATTGCAAACCCCATTCTAGGTTTACATGCCCAAACACAGTTCCAAAGAAGAATTGGGACGGGTGGCGGTGGCGGGCAAAGCTGATCCGAAATGACTGCTGTCCCGGTTTTCCTCATTAACTATCAAGACTAAGCTTCACAGGAGGAAAGTATATGCTTCAATCGGCTAGAGCTACAGGGAATCTTATTTAATTGAATATTAAATAGGTTTTCACCCTCAGAATCCACTCTAATCTATTTTTCAAAGAAGGCCATTTTCTAATGGAACGCCTTACAAATAGACCAGTTTACAATTTAATTGTTGAGAGGGTAGAAGAGCTTGACTCTAACTTGTTAACACCGTGAGCTGTTAAACTCGGATAAGTAGCCCAGCAGCAATAAATTGGGAAGGAATTCACATACAATACCCTGAGCCTTCAATGAAGTTGCAATAATCCGCAGCAGTACGTAGCATATGTAACTACCGCTACCCATTAAAATCGCCGCTTTTGAAGGCTGGAGTAACTGCACAGTCAAAAATCACTACAACTATTACTTATCCTTAAACGCAACATATCTCTTAGAATTTTGCGATTCGAAGGGCACTGAATACGTTAAAAACAAACAAAGCTAAGATGAGAGGGCAGTAGTAATGCCTTGGCGCGTGCCCAATATTATGTATGCGGTAATTTGATGTTTCATTAACCCATTTTCAACCACGCGGCTCATACCAATAGCCTTCATGCTCTTCTGTACATTGGTAACACTTTCTCCTAAACTATTTTGCCTCATTACAAATTCAATGAACATTCAGTGAACCATACGTGTTATCAACACCGTCTTTGGTCAGTAATGCATAAAAAAGCAAGGTAGTGCAGTGTCGCTGCTTTAAAATGGTCTCAAAAGCAATTTATTGGAATTTTAGCTGGAAATTGAAAGGATATTTAGCATGAAAGTTAAAAAATCTATGGAGTCTATATTTGCACTCAAGATATTGCACCTTTCCTGTGTGTATTGTTGTGATTTAACTGTTTATTTGACTCTTGACTTTGGTAACAGGAGCGATGGTCTCCGGGCCAAGATAGTAGCCTCAAGTCCGATCGTAAATCGAATCCATACATTCTGCCCAGGCACCATGAATTTATTTCCGTTGAGGTCTCGGGGGGCCGCATTATATTTACAATTGCTAGCTAGGTCGGTCGCGTGCAAATGAAACATTTTCTTACAACTTTGCTGTTTTAAATGGAAAAGCAAGCGTGTTTACGTTTGAGATTAAGCAGTGTACGCAGTACAGTTTTGCTATAGTTTTACCAATCATTTTTGACTCTTTTAGCGGACGTTGAAATCAGGGAAATATGTTGCATATTCTGCAGTTGTTTGGCTTGCTCGGCTCACGGTTGGTGTCCTTGAGACCCTGAAATTGTGTTCTTGAAAAGATGGGGTTCGTTGGGTCAGTCAGGTTGGTTCATGCTTACTTTGCGGCTTCTCATTCTCTGGGCAGATTTGTGCTCTCAAGTTTGGAGTTCTTTGGATAGTTCGGATTTCTCATCAAAATTCCCTAGGCTATTTCTGATTCTGGTCCAAACTGATATATTCCACATATGCTAATTTCATCTTGTTTAGTTCCTTGTTTACTTGAGTGTGGAAATTATGCAGACTATAGTTCTCATCGTGAGGGTGAGAATTCATTAAGAACTCGCACCTGCAAACTTAATATTTTCGACTTCGGTCTCCTGCCGCTGCAATATACCAGCTATAAATCACTCGAATTTCATAATAATGGAAATAACATATTATAGCTGTTTTAGTAGTACTATTCGTCTCATCACATGAGCTTTTGTTGCTTCTTCTTATTCGAATTCCAGTCAAGTATTAGGAGTTTACATGGTTTACCAAATTTTTCTCGGTTAGGTTGAATTTTTAATCGGTTTTAAGTACACTGTTAAGTCGGACTGAAAGTCTTTTCTGTATCATTCATTTTGGGTGGTTCTACTTCTGCATATTTTGTCACTGTATAGATTCTTAGTATGGCTTTAGTATTATTCTTAGATTCATGCAATATTTTAAAAATACCTAATTGTACTATTGACCTAGTAGATGAATACATAAAATATGTTCTGAAATGCACGTCTCATATTAATAGCGAATTCGTCACATTGTAATGTTCTTGTTAACATTTGCTTGCACTTCTCTTACTTGTTTTGCTGGTCGACTTGTAGTGTTATGCTGAATAATTTTGATAGTATGACACTGGGCTTTATTCTAAATATTGTGTGAATTTCAAATAGTCATTCTGAATTAATAAAAATGTCCGTATTTTGGCGCAAGAAATTATGTGTTTAGAAGTGAACGGAAATCATACTGACGGTCTTTGCACATGCGGCCTTAGTAAGGGTACTGATGGACCGAAATAGTCCTTTCAGCTGTTCCTTTCACTTTTTGTCTTACATCGAATTTCTGTTTCATCAGTGCCATCGATTTACTGCTTAACGTTAAGTTTTGGAAAGTTTGTTTACTAGATTTACCGTTAGCTTGTCTTTTTGTTTTTAATTGTATCTAATGAGTTAAGTGTTAATTCAAGTGAGCGGATTCTAATGTGAATTAGTGTTTTTTACGATGACTTCCAAATAAATATTTTGTATCTCTGACGCCTTTTAGATGTCGTTTCACTTGTCTAGCTCACTTCTGGCTGAAACATGTGACAATCAGTCGCGCGTTTGTTAACCCAATTGCTAGGGACCAATCTGGAGCCACATATGCAGCTTCATTATGCAAGCAGCGTTTATGATTAACGTTGAAATGAAGGCAATATTTTTTGGAGTACAACAAGCCATACTGACATGGTGGAAATTTTGTTGTTGACTACAAATGTATGATCCAAAGTAGCTCCCAAAGCCTTAGCATGTATTTTGGCAGTCATGGTTAATCTTCCAAAATGCTACTTCCTGACGTATATGTTTCCATCTTTGCTTACGATAACCGTTAAACAAATTCGTTTTCTGAAGATGCGACGGTCTTACTAGCAAGCTGATGAATTGCTTTTACGATGCAGTAGAGTTTTTGCTATTTTTCCTCTTTACAAACAAACAGCACCAACTTAAAATGTGGCTTGCTGAAAATATTATTCCTACCAACTGGGACTGCATTTAGCTGCTATACAAAAATATGCGATTAATTTGTCTACAGTATGCGAATATCACTTTTTGAAGTTCAATTATGCAGCTACTTACTCTTTTATGGCGAAGAGTTCCTTCACACTTTCGGTAGGGAACCATGCCAAATTAAAATCAGGTAGTACTTGTAAGGTCATTTTTTGGTTTTACCGAGCATATCAGCTGTTCAGAAAACTTGATTTGCGCGTCTGTCCTTATTTCGATTTGGTTTTTTTGTCGTTATTGTCCTGTCATTAAATCATTTGACATCATTCTCTGTGCCAAAAAGTTTGCGCTTGTGGATACTCCCTTTTTGCTGTAACATCTGGTGCTTATTTCGGTTTGCAAAATGTTATCGCAAAACAAACACCCGTCTCGCGGCTCGTCCTTTCTCCATTCGATCATTTGCATCTGCTTGTATGAATTCAACTTTGCCACCTTAATTAGATGTTATTTTTTATCTGTATTGTGCTAAGTATGAAACGTCTACTTGTCCTGATACTTCAATTGGTGAGTCACATGGTCATTTGTGCACATTGCTTGTGTGAGGCATCCTTTATTGTAAGCGTGATGAATTTCCATTTCTTCGCACCTTGTCAGAAGTTTACATCTCCATCCATATCGTAAAGGGGTCGTATTTTAGTCTCTACTAGAAGTTATTCGCATTTTGTTTCTAAGGCCACTGTTTCAGTATCATTTGAAAGTTGGTGCAGCTTGCTCAATCTAAAGTATATGCTCCTGCCCACCATTTAAGATAGTTTATGGGCTATTTTAAGCTTTATTTAGCTCCCAAAAGACGTCTTTGGCCATGCGCAAGCTATTTAGAGGTAGTTTTATCAAACTTCCAGTTGTTTTGGTGTTTTGGTCGACTTGGCTATCTGGGTGCTTGCTTAGGTCTTTCCATGACTGCTTCTGCCACGCGATTCTGCAACGGAAACTTCAGTGCGAACTCACAATAACATGGAGCACTGTGCACATTTCTGCATCCCTCAACTTTATGGTGTTTTTTATAGTGTCTACTGTTGCACATGGAATGTCGGTGGTGAGACACCACCACGACAGGACCTCTCGAAGCTTCTGGGTGTGGATTGCGAACCGCATCCTGATGTAATCTTTCTTGGGTAAGTGCCCGTACTCTCCCACAACCCGGCCTTTACCTTCAGTTTGCAAGAAGTCGTCAGATCGGATGAGTGGTACAACGCTTTAAAGATAGTTATGGCTCCTTTGAACTACGTTCTGGTAAGACTCGTTTTCCAACCTCACGTTTGCATCCCCTTCCTATATTAGATCAAATACAGAAACTGTTGGGCCATTTGGATCTACGCCTTCGTAAAACGGTATCTCCTGCCGGCCATAAATAACATTGAATCCGAGATGACGGCTTTCGGTTATGCAGGAATAATGGTAGAATAGGGCTACTTTTTATATCACCAACTTTATTCTTTCCCATCTAGGGCAATAAAGGGGCATGTAGTGTACGTTTTGAGGTCTGCGGTGTTAACATTGCGTGTGTGTCTGCCCACTTCACACCGCACCCCGAGAAGCTTGAGGATCGCATTAACGTAGGATGGAGGACGCACTTTCTAATCGCCTCACCTAGGACTACCGCGATGTCTTGAAAGATCAAACCTTCCGTGACCCAGACGTGAATCTTCTCATGGATCATGAGTAAAGACTTTTAGATTGGTCGATGACTTTGACGCCTTTGGTGTCAATTCGTCCCATACTTTTAGCTGAGGGTTAAAAGTTTTGACGCTAGCTCTTCCCACTTTCATCCATGGTTGTCTCCAAGCCAATATCCCATTTTCGTTTGATACCCGTGGTCGGAGTGATGTTGCACCATTTATCGGTCATATTCCGGGTTTATATGATTAATCTTTTAGTTATATTTTCTGGATGGGTGATCTGAATTTTCGAACGGAGGGTTTGGAAAAGGATGCCGTCGAACACCTGATCTTATCGAAACGCATCGACGTCTTAATGGAATACGACCAGGTAACGGCTTCTCACATAATTGATGGACCGATCAAGTAACAAGGGCAGCGAATTTATGTTAATTCAGCATTCGAATCTAGATTTATTGTGGTTGATGATCTGTTATATCAACAGCAAGTTTTTTTGGGATCAGCAATGACACTTTGTTGGAAACTATTTTATGCTAATTCGAAAAATAAGTCTTTCTGAGGTTGTATAAGCTTTGATCGCTTACCCGACTTGGAAAACTTGTTGGCCATATAGTTTTTGCACGCCTGCACATGAAAATGGTACTGTCTTTCAAATCTTATTTTAATTACATTGTTTTGGTTGTTAATTATAATCCTGATTTAAGTTTGTAAATTCGTGTACTTTGCACTCAAATGAAACCGTATGCGCTGTTGCTGTGTAGATAGCACTGAATGCACCAGATCCTTCGAGTGTATTTCGAGGCCTCTCCTTGCTATAGGGCGTCTGGGTTGCTGTATCAATAATCTCGACTTTTGATACGATTCTTTTATTTTACTCTTGTCATTACGCGCGGCATGTGATTCACGAAACACGTCTGCTAAAGGTTCTGGCAACTCAGTTTGTTTCAATCATTTAGAAAGGGCTGTAATCCACTTCTAGGCGATCGAAAAAATTGTTTCAAATCTCACTACTTTTATGTCAAAGTAGCTAACAAGGAAATGAACACTTGGGCCACGCTTCGGTGTGACTACCGACATTGGTAAAACGCTTACCAGTTATTAGCGCTTTGTCATCAAAACCCGGCAGTCTTACTGGCGGTCTTGATTTCCTCATCCTCCCTTACCTAAGGGTTGCTTGTCGAACTGGCTGGATTCGTTTCATAGTTGTACTCCGGCGTTCCGCTCACTGTCGATTTACTGGTTACTGCTTTAGTTAAGAAGAGCCATGAAAAATGAATTGGCATTTCTCGACTTCAAAGAAGGTGAGATTACATTCCCACCAACCTTCAAGTACGACAAGGGTACAAAGAACTATGATTCTAGGTGAGTATGTTCTTTCAAATACCTCTGGTTACCATCACTACTATTTATGTACCGTTTGCCATACTTGCTAGCCTGATGAGTGCTGTTTACTTTTGTTCACTTGCCATGCAACAGCTTATTTAGGTGACAGCAGGTCTTCTCACCCATCATATACGGAATATCCTATTTTGAAATCCTTGATTGTATTAAGACTTTTGAACCGTTTTTAAGAAGTCGCACCTAAGGCAAAGGCGTAACACTCTTCACAGGCCGACTGCTAGTTTTCTTCGAACGAAGTGGAAGTGTGAATTGAGAATGGCGCACATTTTCCGTTTAGAATGTCTCACGTGGCGATGAATTCCAGCTGATTGGACGGAATGGGGCAACCCCCCCCCCCCATTGGTTCATCCAAGCGTTTTTATGACAATGCGAGGTCAAAAATTAGTTTGAACTAGGTGGCTAGACAGATTTCCCATTCACAGTATTTACTAGTTAGCTATGCATCCATTCATATGAATCTCATTTTCTCTTGAATGCGAATGTTCTTCACTGTACTGTCGCGTATTGGTTCATCCTGAAAATTCGGCCATCACTTAACTCCGATTAGTATGTTTTTCAGGAACCGGATCTTAATATAATAAGCTTAACTTTGGACGAATAAAAGTGCCACTTTATCTGGAATGCGTCGAGATAATTAAAAGAGTTGCCGGTACCTGATAGTGTTTCTGAGCAGGAAAGTAAAGTATCGACAATTTGTACAATAGTTTTGTACAGGCAGAAGAATTATCGCAATCTTCTTTGCGTCTTTGGTTTGATCAAGCCTGATTGCAATTGAATTTGAGACACCATATTCGACGTCCTTTTGGACTGAGACGGTGTCTGTTTATGGTTGCTTTTCAAGTAAGAAGCAGAGAGTACCATCGTACACGGATAGGATCCTCTACATGGCTCACAATGATTTTGCATTGGAGCACAACGTGCAGTTGGATGAGATGGGCCGCAGGATGCCACAGGCAACATGTAAGCGAGCGGTGCGCGGCGGCCCTTCCGCCTCCTCATCCGTCTCTGCATCCGCCGATACCGCTACCAAAGAGCGCCGCGGGGAGAACGCGACACCGAAGCTTCACCTCCTCGCCTACGACCATTTACCCAACTACATCTGTTCCGACCACCGCCCAGTTTTCGCCCGTTTCCACGCTTGCGTACCCTCTGTATGGTTCCAGCTTCCTGTCCGCTTCATCCAACCCGTTTCTCTCAGTAGGTCTTTCTTCTCCTCCCCCCCCCCCTCCTCTTTACATTTG